AAGAGCAAGCTGAAGATCTGATTCAGAATAAGTTGATAAGTAACTGCGTTGTTGAGACATAATGTGATGTAGTGTCGACGTTGACGCGCTGGTGGGGCGCGACCGATTCGCTTGGGCAACCGATTCGCTTGTGAACCACGTTACCATACATGCAAATAAATTACCAAGCAACATCAACCCTCGGACCACCCCCAGCCCAGCCCAACCCTTCCCATGCTCCGCCATGCTCACCATACCCTACCCTGCACCATCGTCACGCCATCCTAAACCCAAATCCCAGCCCAAGTCCCAAAACTTGCCTCTGAGCCAACAACGCCTGTACCCTTACCCTTACCCTGGTCCAAAATTGCTAACATCTCATGCGTTCTGGGCCGAACCAAAAAAAACGTAACTATACCGGCCGAACAAACGCTTTTGTGCGTGGTCGCAAGCATTCATCTGTGCCTTTTTTTTCCCCCTTTCTTCGGCAGATAACTAGGTAGCTACTAGCTTTTGCTACGTTGGACAAGAGAGGGCGAGTACACGTTGTTTTTACGTGGATTTTACGTAGTTAAAAAAACGATGCATTACGTACGGATTCTCTAGGATCGAACTTTTTACTTTGACGGACTTGCATATACCCTGTTGATTACGAGGGCCGGTGGTGGGCTTTTTTGGTGCCCGAGGGGGGGGGGGGAGTCTCGAAGTAAGACGCACGCACGTACGCACGTTAAAGTATGTCCAGTGAGTCGGGGTATGTACGTAAGTACTTATGTGAGAAAGAGGGGAAAAAAAGGGTCTTTTGTTTTTTCCAGGATAGTAGTAGAAAGACCCTTTGTTGGTTCGGCGGATAGGTGTGTGCCTCGGTTTCTTACATAACTTTAGTAAGTCATTTTACCAGATCATCTTTCTCGCAACAAATCTTACCCTCATCACCCCAACCTGTCTGAGGTAATTGAGGCTGAGGAGCACGCAGGGATAACATGTATCCATCTGACTTTTTTCCTGTCAGGAAAAGATAAATCGTAAGAAAATGTGTCAACACGATGGTGTTTCCAACCGTTTAAGACCCGCCTACTACTACTTAGTCCCAATCCGGTTATCATCTCATCGACCTGGCGCATACTTAATCTTCCGGTCAAAGTTGTACAAACCATGAACCATGACCTTTAATACTATCTTCCTTCCCCCCCCCTTCCCCGAACCCTTCTTCCCTGGAGTACCATGAAAAGTACCATAACCAAGACCTGTATTGTATAAAGATACATACGAACCCTCCCAGTCCCCGAGTAAATTTAGGACCAAAAAAAAGAGTGCTCGTGCACACAAAGGTGCGACAAGAGTGCGCCTGTCTTCCTTACTAGACTATATTTTTCTGAATGCAACCGTGCACTGTTGATGTCCGTGTCCGTGTGTGTGCTCGAGTCATTACGCTGGGATTGAACCATCCAGGGTTATCGTTGTCAGAGAGAAAAAAAAAGATTGTGCGCTGGAAGTTAGTGTTTGGGCGGGTGGCGTGCGGAATGAGGCGGTTACGGGCCGTTGTTTTGGGTGTAGCGTGGGAAAGGGAAGGGAAGGGAAGGGACCGGACGGACGGGAGATGTGTGGTGATGTGTGAGACGTATATTGAGTGGTTGTGATAAGGAGCTGTAGAGAGTCTGCGCGAGTCAGAGTGTGTTATACAGAGAGCAATTATACAGGCTCTTGGAGGAATAAAGATAGCTGATGTTTTTCGTGTACTTCGTGATCCTAAACTGGAAAACTGTTGCTGTAGGATTCAAGACAAACATATCGCAAATACAAGCGAGTAGATTCGCAGATCCCTCGAGATGCTCTAATGCCAACCAGTACTGCGCTCCCCGTATTCTATAAAAACGCCCGTCTATGCTTGTCCCAGTGAAAAAGAACAATTACCATCCACCACCAGCGGTAACAGCCAGTCCAGCCACTCGCTCCATATCGCTCTGCTTCTTCTTGCCCACATCGCTTTCGACCTTGATGTACGATGTATATATTAGCTTCTGTTGATCAACACCTGTAATATGTGACCAATGTGCCATCATATCCTTCATGTGCGATCTTGATATCCCGTCCACAATGTCCTCGGAGGCGTGGCCATTTGTGCTGGCATCATTGGCCGTTTCGTCTTCCGAGTCTGTGCCTGAAAAGTACGCTTCGTCGACTCTTGCCAGCCACTCCTTCTGCTCCTTTGGACCAGGCTTTGGTACGGGCGCATCGTCATTTGCTTTCTGTATGCCCTCGTAGACGCGAACCTCTTCAACCTCTTGCACTTTGACTTGTCCACCCCCGTTAGTGCATCCTCCTGGACAGGCCATGACCTCGACATATGCATAATCTTTTACGCCTTCACCTGCTGCTCCTGCTCCACCTGGTTTCCTACTGACGCCCGTCCTGCCACCTGGCAGTCTGCTTGCTCTTGCTGGCTTCAGTCGCCGCACCAAGTTTTGAATATTGCGGAAACCGTAGAATCGTGCTGCCTTGATGATAGTCTCTGAGCCTTGAACCACTGAGTATTCCACCACATCGGCATTGCGGCCTCTTACTACTGATATCGAAGATCCCGGATTCCGCGCCTGATATGTTTGTAAGATGTGGTAAAGATAACCTCCAGAGGATCCTGCGGTAACACTCTGGTTCTTCCGGCGCGAAGAAGGGAACAAGAAAGCATCCAGTTTGGGGTCGGGAAATGGTGTCCGGTCTGATTGAGAAAGTGGGGACCGAGGAAGATTGGCAAAGTTGATACCGCGGGCGGCGGCAAGGTGTAGCAGTTCGCGAGCAGTAATGACGCAGTCAGTATCCCGTATCTTCTCCTCGGACTGGTTGTAGCTCGGTAACCAGGCAGCAGATGTGAGCTCGCCACGACTAGCTTCAAGCTTCTTGTCAAAGCAAGGCATGATTGCCAGATGCCATATCTGGGACGGATGTACGTGGTAGCGCTCGCTGAGGACCGACTTCACCAAGGTACCAGTGAGCGCCTGGGGCGATTTAAGGCGCGAAAGGTGTGGCAGAACGTATGGATGTGTCTTTTCAGCATAGCATATCCACCCAGGACATGCTGATGTGAGGATAGGTGCCTTTGGGATAGTATCAATTGCGCCTTCAGATCCGGGTTGTGGTGACGCTTTTACTGCAGCGGGTGAGAGCGCATTTGTAACCTCATCTGCTGCTGCTACCAGGCAAGCCTCTCTCATGGCGTTTGTGTCAATGATCCAAGTAAAATCACTTCCCTTGTCGCCGCCAGTTCTCAATCCATTTGGTCCGCTGAGGAGCTGTGAGATCATGTTCCCAGCCTCTACTTCGGAAACATTGAAGACGGCTGCCAGGCTTGCGCGCGTCTGCGGTGAAACGCTTGCGACGAATAACTTTCCCTCGGGCTCATCATGGCTCCCATTTACAGCGCCGTTTGTTCCGTTATGTCCGCACCCGTTTGCGACGCCATTCGTCCCGTTTTGTGCCTGCCATGGAGTGCGCAGCGATCGGTATTTATCGAGCGTCGTTAGAACTTCCGTATGCGATTGCAACGAGACTAGAACTGCTTCAGCGCTCGTTACACATCCTGAACAAGCGAGACAGTCTGTCAGCGATATCGAAGCGGGTGGTGGCGGTTGCGAGGCAGCGGCTTTTTCTTCCGTCGTGACTTCATAAGCATTCTAGCAGATTAGTATGCGCCCGGTCCTAAGCCAATACAAACAAAGAGCGTACCGATGTCTCTTCTTGTTGCGCAGGAAGTGTTTCAATAGGTTTTATGCACGCGACACCCGGCGATATGAAGTCGTTTAGGTCATCTGCAGAAAGAATGGCACTCATAGTGCGCAAAGGATTGGCGGGGAAACGAGGGGTGGCAAGCGCCGGATATTGCAGTAGTAATTCAAGAAGCAAAATAAATTTGACCGTCAGACGAATAGATAAGAAAGACAGTTGCCTGCGCAAGAGGATATCTGTTGCAAAATCAAGAAGGAAAGAGGGACGCAGGCCAAATACATGCAAAAGATTCCTGGTGCGAAGCCGATGTCGCGGAGAATAGGACCCTTTGCAGTCACGTAACGCGCCAGCCTATCGATAAGCTTGCATTTCTAAAAGATTCGAATGACAAACCTCCGCGGCATTCTTGCCACACTGCCGACATTTCCCACTAGCCCTTAGTCTACCCAATCTCACGTGCATGTTTGACAGAAGTTTACAGCTATGCTATTGGTTATGGTCTATAGGTCGGCCCCTGAAAACGAGCAAGTAAACAGATCGGGGGTCCAAAGGAGGAGTTGTATGTAACCGATAAAAAGAGTATTATACTTTGTAATCTGAGTGAAATACAGTAGTGGTAATACTATCTTCGACTTCTCTTTCTTCTCTCATCACTTAAGCACCTCTTGTTCTCCACCTGACACACCCTCACTCTCTACATGGCCAGCCCTGCAAATCTTCGTACAACTAAACCTCCTATCCGGCTCCTGCTCGCTTGCAACCTGAACAGATGACGATTAAAAGTTGAAAAAAGAAAGAAACTGAAGGTATCATAACGACAAAAATGCTGAAGCGGCCGTCCCATTCACCCACGTATCCTCTGTCACCAAACGCCCGACGAAAGAAATATGAACAAAAAAACTCAAGGACTCGACTTATACAGTGTACAAGACCGCTGGGTATAAGACGTTGCGCCGATCGTATGCTCGAATAGACCAAATGCATGCGGTGGCGGTTTCGGTGTGAGACGGCTCATGGTTGTGTTGGAGCAAACGTTGCTTGTAGTCTGTGCTGTATGCCCAGTGATATTTTTGTATCGCGCATGGCTATGCACGACTGGGGACTCCCAGGTTTCGGGAGTGGGGGCCGGAAGGGATCCAACAATGCTTCCGCTTCAAAAGAGTCGTTGCTGAAGCAGAGAGGATAACACTGAGCCCAGGTCGTGATGAAACGGAAGGTATTCGCTGTGCACTTCATGCTTGCACACAAGGCATATGCTACTCGAGCGTAGCGGCTTTCCACAAACAACCATATCCTTTCTGAATTCCAACTCTTTTGTGATGGCTCTTCACTCAATCAGTGGTTTTCGTACACCTCCTACAATCGAAATACCAAGAGCGCGTAGGCCTTCAGGGTCGTTGGATCGAATGATAGTGCTAGCAGGAAGCATAGGATTTTCAGGTGCGACATGTGCGGCGTCCTTGGCGGCTTGTTCAATGGCTTCCATCTCTTGTTTGCAGCCAGCATGATCAAATGGACATACAACGATGGGCTGGCGGAGCAAGATATCTCGCGCTGACGACATTTGTGCCTACGGCTGGTAAGCAGTTGAAATCAGATTGTACCTGCTTCAGCTTACCTTTACTGTAAGATAATACTCAATCTTATACAGTGTACCAGTTGTCGTGAAGCCATTTACAGCGTACATTGGGAATTCTTTCTGTCCTCTGGGTATTATTCCTGTATTATCTCGTAAATCCTTTGCCGGGAAGACGAGCCCAAGATTGGTGAAATAGCCCGCTTCAGGCATCTTGACTCCGACTGCCTGTGTTGTTTTCACTAATGTCTTCACCTTCCGTGTCGGTTCGTCTCCTTCGTGGTTGAAAATAATCTCCTCATCTATGCCAACCGTAATCTTTTGTATCGTAACTTTCTTCGCCTTGTTCAGCCAGTCCGGGTTTGGACTCAGCTTGATGTATACTGAAACCGGATCGAGCGGACCATAACTCCAACGCGGCAAACTTATCCCAAGGGTGACGAGGTGATCCGTCACTCGTTCCGCACTCTCTGGTCGATTGTACATGCCAAATGTGGAGAGGGTATCGTATCTTTGTATCGGTACTGCGAACGGGTACTTCTTCTGTTCCTGGGGTCCTTGCTGAACCGTCACGACTAGTTCGTAGAATGTCTCGGCCGTACGACTCGGTAACTGTAAGCTTGCGGGCGGGACTCTCCGCGCTACCTCCTCGCCGCCGCGTCCGTATGGTATGAAGATGACGAAGGGCAGGTCCATGCACAATACGCTTTCGTATTCTTTCCCAGGCGAGCATCGGTACAGGAGCATTTCCTTGCCCACAATATCCGTGATTTCCTTGCGCGGGGCGGCCAAATGCCTCCTTGCGGCCGAATCGGCGGAGGGGTGTATCGTCTCACGACGGTGCAAGGCAATGGTAACAAGCGAGACATTGACAGGTGCTGAGATACCAACGAGTGGGCGGATCTCGACTTTGCCTTCTATTCGGGGCTGAAAGGTGTCAGCATTAGCCAAGTAGTGTTGCGAAAGGGCTGCGCGCCGTGCAGCGGCTCCAGATGGGCAAATTGGAGCGCCAGGTGTCCAATGACGAGGGGAACAGGCTAAGAGCACGTACAAGTGTAGCTGATATTCCAGGATAGCCGATCAGAAAGTTACTGTTTGGCGGTCCTGAGACGCGCACAAAGGCCGACATGTTTGAATCTCACGGCGCAAGCCTGGGACCGCAGCTGGCGCTGCATGAGCGTGACCGTGGCCTTTGAGCACCCAGGCCTCGCGTTGAATATGGTCGCTCGAGGGTGCAGTGAAGTGGGCGACCAGGTAGCTGTGCGAGAGGGTGTGCTGGAGCTACTGGTAGGCAGCCTTGAGGGCCGCGGGAGTGTGGGGTTAGGGCGATGTAAGGCGCACGCCTCGAATCTTGAACCAGCGGGGTCTCTCTGGATGGGCGACAGGGGAACCTGAGGGTGCGCAGCGGGCCGACCGGCAAGGAGGCGAGGAAGATACGAGATGGAGCGAGTGGGTGCGCGGGCAGGCTGGAGCCTGTGGTAGGTTACTATGTCCCAAGACTGAGTAGGGCTCTGGCTGTGTTGAGCTGAGCTGGACTTGGAGCTTGGAGAGCTGGCGCGCCTAGTGATGGAGCGGAGCACCAGACCAGGGCATATACCAGGGGCACGAGAAGGCTAGGGCAATGGCGATGATAGCGAATGCAGGGCGATTGCAACAGTGTACGTAGTGATGGGGCTGACGCACCATGTTCTAGCCGCGGCGAGGGTGGAGATGGTAAGCTCTCCAACCTCGCCGCGTCTGTTCCTACGCATCTGCACGCGCAATCCTTCCCTCTGCCCAACACCACTACCACCACCGCCATGTCTGTCACCGTAAGTTCCAACCAATATCCTCTCGATATTTTTTCCAGGAGACAACCTTCTGACTGCGCCAAGCTACACACCACCAAAGGCGACATCAAACTCGAAATCTTCTGCGAAACCGTCCCCAAAACCGCAGAGAACTTTCTCGCCCTCTGCGCATCTAGCTTCTACAATGGATCGCCTTTCCACCGCATGATTCCCGCATTCATGGCTCAGACCGGCTCGCCCGCCTCCGATCCCAAGTCCAAGACTTCGACCTCCATTTTCGACACGCCGAACCAGCTCTTCGAAGATGAAATCAGGCCAGCGCTGAGACACAATGCCAGAGGAATCTTGAGCATGGCGAACAAAGGTCCGAACTCCAACGGCTCCCAATTCTTCATCACGTTTGCCCCCGCTCCACACTTGGATGGGAAGAATACCGTGTTTGGCAAGGTTCTAGAGGGCTGGGAGGTCTTGGATGATATAGAGCAGGTGCAGGTGGACAAGAAGTCGCGCCCACAGGAAAGGATTGAGATCAAGAATGTCACCATACATGCCAACCCTCTGGCGGGCTGAGCAACAAGCCAAGCAACGGAAACGTCACGCATGATAACATCACTCACTACGAGTATCACACAAGCACAACCACCGGCCATCAAACTAGGGATTTGGAAACTTTTTTGTATTCATCGGGGCTGGCGAGGCCCTGGTATCTTCAGAAGCGCCGACCCATTGCAACAAGAGTCAAGGAAATCTACAGCACGTGGAATTGATCGAACCCTTATGCGCCATTGGTAGTCTCACCATTGGTGGTCGCACCGTTCGTCGCAGCATGCTCTTCGTAACCCTCTGTCTTCATGTCCTTGAGACCTAGATCCTCTTCCTCTTCCTCTGTCCGCTCGTAGTCCTCGACCTTGATTTGCGGATCGGGCTCTGGTGCGGTAAAGCTTTGCACATAGCTGCTGGCAAGAGGGTCCTTGAGGATAATGGTGAACTTGTCGTCGCCGTTGATGGCTGCTGAGAGACTGTTGAAGAAAGTGTTCCACTTCTGTTTTGTCTCTGTGTTCATGGAATCACCGCCATCACCAGCATCGAAAATCGAAGATCTCAAGTCGTCGCGTACTTGGGTAAGGAGACCTTCGATAGTTGTGAATCGGCCACCAAGCGTACCAGGCTCAACACTAAGGTTGAGTTCAGGGCAAGACATGGCGCACGACTCAGCCTTGAGGATATCTCGCGACAGATCCTCTTTGTTATTGACTGCGACAGTGATAAGACGACCCTTCTCAGGAACTTCACCACCAGTCTTAACTTCATTGCTGCGGTCTACTGCACGTTAGCGAGTGATCATGTCGCATCCCTTAGGTTCCAACTTACATCCGCAATGGTCGCACACGGTGCTCATCAAGACTACTTGCTTGAAGTGAGGAATATTGACCATCTTCATGTTGGTAGTGCAGGGCTTGGTGCATCCGGGACAACTGGCAGGGAACGAGTAAACTTGGTTCTCCAGAATATCATCATCGTCTACGTTGTTCACCATAGGCTGATGAGCCGAAGGCATTTCAGGGTACATTTGCGAAGCGTGGTACTCTGGTCGGATCTCCGTGGCAGGCGCCTCACCGCTGGTATCTCCAAGGCCTAGCGCTTCGTTCTGTGCTGCAGTTCGCGCGTACTCGTTTCGAGAGTATTTGCCCGCGGCGAGTACACTTGGAGGCTCAATGGACGAGTTACCGGCAGGGTCGTCAACCGTCACCTTGAACGGCAACTTCTCTCCACTGGCCATTTGCTTGATCGTGTTGATCACGCCCTGTAGCTGCTCGTAGATCTCTGGTACCACTTCCTTTCTCTCATCCTGCTTTTGCTCCAAGTCTTGTGCAACCATGGTGAGAATGCCTTCAACGTTGGTCAGCTGCCCTCTCCCTGGAGGAATCTCTAGATCGATATCCTCGACTCGAAAGATCGCTGTGTCGCTCTTGATAACTTGTCGGTTGAGGTCGTCGGCGTTGTCGACCTTGAGAGAGAAGCGCACTCCTTTTTGTTGTATCTCGCCAGCGGGCTGGACCTCGGAGTTTTTGAAATGGCAGTGTGGGCATGAGAAGGACATTAGAACGATCTCGCGGAAGAACGGTATCCTTGTGAGGAGCAACCGAGTAGTTCCCTTGAAGAGTGTTAGCTGGTTATATGGAAGTCTTGCCGCTACACTTACATTTTCATGGCAGTTCATGCACAAACTTTCAATCTCATCGACAACTTTGCTGCCATCTTCAGTGTCTGGCTGGGCGCTGGCCTCCTCGACCTTGCGGCCCATATCCTCAAAGAGGTCCTTTGCGAGACTCTTGTGTTGTGCCATGTTGAAATCGGGTATTTGATTTTTTTTCGCAGACTGAAGTGAAAGAGATTGAATGCTGGTTTATGTGATGTGACTCTGCAAGTCCCGATGACGAAGGTGCTGGAATTTTTTTGAATCGCCCCGCGTCACATAGCGGGGGTTCGCTAAGCCGCGGCGCATCCTAGCAAGGTGCGGTTACTCAGCCCTACGGAGTTCACATGGCAAAATCCATAAGGTCGAGGCCGCCACTGGCCGAGTTCTGCGACTTCTTTTTGTCGAGCATGGCTTGCAAGCCACCTTTGCGTGCTTTTTGTCTTTGCTTGCTGCTGGCATTCAGTGTCTTGGGCGCGTTGTCGACTCCTTTTGCCGGGGTCTTTGATGTTGGAACGGGTGCTGCATCTAGTACAGGTGCTGATTTCTTATCCTTTCTGCGTGCTTTGTGGCGAAGTGCTTGAACTGTCTCCCGATGGCACATCAAGCAAGTATAGCGGATGCTTTTGTCTAGCTGTGGTAGCTTCTTGGATCCCTTATTGTCGTTCCTTATAGGGCCTTCACCGGGAAGGTGGTTTGAGACTTTGCATGACCATCCTGGAATCATAATGTTTCCACAAGCGTTGCAAATGCTGCGTCGATAAGCATCGGCTTCTTTACTTGGAATTTCGATCTCAGCATCTTCGACAAACTTGTGATGTGCCCTCCCAATGAATGCTGCTGCCGTTGGAGAAGAGACGGCGAGGAGCTGAGCAGCCTCTTGGAGGAATCTCGCCCGCGCTATGGTTTCATTGTTTGGTGCCATTGTTGGAGCACCTGTGTGATCTTGGTGCAGAGCTTGGAGAGCTTCCTGCAGGTCCGATATCAGCACGTGCCTGCTTCTTATCATAACGCCGATCTCCGACGCTAGCAGCTGCAGGTCCCCTCTCGCTTGACAACTTTCTGGGTTGGAGTGTTTGTTGTTAGCCTAGACCGCGATTGCTTGCGCCCATGTACCACACAAACAATCAATTAGTAGCAATTTCGGTCGCAAGCTCACTGAAATCTGCTGCTTCGAGACGCCAAGCATGGCAGCGCCTGAATTGATCGAACAGCAAGGGCTGCGGATAGCAGTCGAGGGTTGCGGTCACGGAGTGCTGCATGAGATCTATGCATCAGTCGCGAAAGCATGCGAGATCAAGGGTTGGCCTGATGTGGATCTTCTGATCATCGGTGGAGACTTTCAGGTACGTGTATTGATCACAGTGCTCTCACAGTAACCGACTTTGCAGGCTGTTCGAAATGCCTCCGACCTCAAGGCAGTATCAATGCCTTCGAAATACTACGCCATGCACGACTTCCACGAGTACTACTCAGGCGCACGCCTAGCCCCATACCTCACCATATTCATTGGCGGTAATCACGAAGCGAGCAATTACATGTGGGAGCTTTACTATGGCGGGTGGGCTGCACCGAGGATATACTACATGGGCGCAGCAAATGTGATACGACTGGGTCCGCTGCGTATCGCTGGTCTGTCTGGCATCTGGAAAGGCTACAACTTCAAGAAGCCACACTACGAGCGCCTGCCTTATAACAGCGACGATGTGAAGAGTATCTATCATGTTCGGGAGCTTGAAGTGCGCAAGCTTATCCAAATCCGAACGCAAGTTGATATCGGACTGAGCCACGACTGGCCACGGGGCATGGAATGGAAGGGCAACTTCCGACAGCTTTTCAAATGGAAGCCTGACTTTGAGCAAGAGGCAAAAGATGGTATACTGGGAAGTGTTGCTGCCAAAACAGTTTTGGAACGCTTACGACCACCTCACTGGTTTAGTGCTCACATGCATGCCAAGTTTCCTGCTGTATGGGAGCACGTGGACACTTCGAACAGTACGGAGCAAAGTAACCATACAGAAGGTGCGCCTGCAGCAGTAGTGAGCGCAAGTGAGATTGATCTCGATATGACAGACGACACGGGTGTGGCAGCACCAAAAAATGACGCCGAAATCGACCTTGACATGGATGAAGACGAAGCTCCCGCCGCACCCGCTGTGGAGAGCAAGGAGAAAAGCAAGCCCACGACGACCGAAAGCGAGTCCGAGATATCGCAGGACATTCGAAGTCTGTTGCCAGAATCCTTTTCCCGTCCGAAACTCGAGCCTGTACCGACGTTACCCTTCCCCGAAGAGATCACGAACAAGACGACCAAATTTCTTGCACTGGACAAGTGTTTGCCTAAACGGAACTTTTTACAGTTGCTGGAGATTGAGCCACATGAGCCTGGCGAGCTCCAACGTCCGTTGGGACTGCAATACGACAAGGAATGGCTGGCCATCACCCGCGTGTTTGCTGATCATGTGCAGGTTGGAGACCCGCATTTCCAAGTACCTCGAGACAAAGGAGATGCTTTCTACCGACCACTCATAGAGAAGGAAATGGAGTGGGTGGAGGAGAACATAGTCAAGGCCAACAAGATGATGGTGCCGGAAGACTTTGCGCAAACGGCGCCTACATACGATGCAGCATTGGGCATTCATGTGCAAGAGCAACCGAGTGAGTACACCAACGCGCATACCCAAGGATTTTGCGATCTAGTGCAGATTCCGAACGTGTTTCATGCGTCGGAGGAGGAGCGGGCACAGTTAGCATCATGCGGACCAAGGCCTGAACAACAGCGGGCAAACCGAGGGGGAGGTAGAGGTGGGGGCAGAGGCGGCTGGGGAAAGAGAGGCGGTGGGCGCGGCCAAGGGCATGGAGGGCGTGGACGGGGCGGAAGAGGCGGACGTGGTCGGGGAGGGTGGTGATGAATGGCCAAGTGCCAAACACAAGACAGATTAACCCGTGCCCACGTGATGGGAGATTGGGCTCCTCTGCGTTGCAGAAGCAGACTCGGGCTGAGTTGGCAGCGCATGAGGAGGTTGGTATTTTGCCAGGCCTTGTATAGCTTTGTGGAGAAGTGTATCTCGTGCTCAGTGTGAGCAGCGCAGGCATATGCAGTCCCCGCATTAGCGATTTTAGCGACGAGAGTCGCAGGCAGGCACAGGGGAGCACATGCTCATGATGATGATGTACATTGATAGTTATATTGAATGCCCCAGAGACTAGCTGGAAGCAGAGTACACTCGTGGACGGATGGGGCTAGCGTAGGGTAGTCGACGTGGTGAGATGCAAACATTGGCCCTATGGGAGGCGGTTGACGTGAGTGATGGCGCAAAAGTCTGGAGACTAACGGTTGTTACAGAGTCAGAGGTGCATCAGGGTCTAAGCGCACCACTCGACGGTTTGACGGCAGTCCCTGCACGATGATGTAGACGACGGTGACGGTTTGCGGGACCGCAGCTGGTGCAATCTTCCGTCGCTGAGGAAAAAAAGCGGCGGTTGGCCTTTTTGCAGCCGGTCGCTGGCAACATGAGCCGAAGCCGTTGCGCGTACCAGGCTGGTTCTGGACGACGACAATTAATAAGAGGGTGGCTGTGATATTGGGTTGCGCCCTCGTCCTACGTCACAGACGGGGGAATACAGATAGCCATCCATGGCCTCGTGCCCAGTGGTGTGTGCCCACCGCCCGCAGCGGGGCTGGACGGATACACGACATGCGGAATGCCGTCTGCGGACGGGCATGTCAACACCACCAACGCGCGCTTCGATCGGAATACACTTTTTGGCCTCGGGCTTGTTTCGCATGCTGCCTGGGGATCGTATTGATCTGCACACACTTGGTTGGAGATTTAATTTTCTTGCTGCTCGCTTAGTCGGACTCGATATTGCAGACTACACCCACGCACACCGCACAGAAAGGACAGCTGGAGGACTTTGTGGCAAAAGGATTGCGCGTGCTGGTCAAGACGCTCCAGGGCTTATCGCTGTTGGGTGCACGCCGCCAGGCAACAGGAGGCGACGAGGCAAATTCTGGCCCTGCCCACGGCTGCCGAGACGACGTGTGTGGTCTATGGCGCATCCAGATGGCTTGGGCAACCCTTACAAACGCCGCATTTCTGGGGGAGGCTGCTATTTTCAGCGCGTTCGTCGCCAGCAATAATCAGTGACACACGGGTTGGTTGCACGCGGTTACGCCCGCTCTAATGCCAGCTGGCTCGCCCGTCGACAGGCCGTCCAGAACACGCCGGCACGTCATTCCCAGTCGTTAGCCCCGCCGTTATTATGCATCGAGACCATCGCGATCGGCGAGACCCTGAATCCCCGACCCCTGCAGTTGCACACACACATACGCACACACTTTGGCTTTCTCGCGGGTGCCCACCTGCTCATCTTATTATTTCACTCGGGCCCTGGATGACCTTAAAAACCTTTCGCTGCCCTTGCATATCCTGCCTTTGTCCCTGCTCCTCGGCTCAACTCGTCTTACCATCCCTTCGCCCATTCGCTCGTCATATCCCTCCGCTGCCATACTTCATTTCCTTTCCTCGTTCCTACCTACCATCTTGGTCAATCAATCCCGGACAACGCCACCCTGGATTCTGGAACGTCCTCCGCCCTCGTTCCCTAGTGGTAAACGCGTGGACCCTTTTCCCCTTGGGAGGTGGATCATATTATCAATCCAAGTCTATACCATTCAAGTAGACCTATATAGATCCACACGCCTCCCCCCCACCCACACTACCCTCTTCACAACCACCCACCCATACCACTACATTCAACCACAAACACCCACCACTACTACAATGGCATCCCGCTTCGTCGAGAACCTCGAAGAGGTCCCCAACAGCCACCCACATCTCAATGTCTCCCTGGACGACATCCTCGCAGAGGAACGCCGCAAGAGGTCTTCATCCCAATCATCAGGGAGTTCAGAACCTCGCCGCTCAGGAAGCACCTCTGCCGCCATGATGCCAACCTCGCCCACCACCGAAAGCAAAATCAAACGGGCCTTCACCATCGGCGGCAAAAAAGGTCGTCGCTCATCATGAGCGACCACAGCCTAATGCGTTCCCCCTTGCATGAACGCCTTATCCTTACTCTACTCACAAACCCCCATCATGTAACAATGGTTATACCACCATGACGATTCTGTATGCGCACCACATGCTCTCGACCAAGTGTTGGAAGAGAACTATCCGTCGCACACCTGACGTGCCATGGTCCGTCATTTCTCCTCCCCCCTGTTGGCTCTAGCCAGCAAAAAACGTCTGGGAACGTCATCAATCCCGCCCACTCCCGCGAAAGTCGGCTGCCTTGCCCCACTGGTACTACAATCTCCAACCCCGCTCCAGTCAAGGCAACTTTCCTTATCTGAACGAGAGAAGCCTGGCAAAGTCCTCGGCTACGCATCGTGTCTCGGTTAGGAAAGTAATGACGAGGACGGTAGCCGAGGAAGGGGGAATGTGGGGGGACGTTTTTGTTTTTCGCAACATTTATTATTTCCTCTGGATAGATGAAAGAGGCAAAAAAGTTTATTGATTCTACAATATATGTACATGGATCAGAGACATGTACTCAATATTATCTATTTTATTCTTGACTCTTATCGTTTGCCGCCCCGCTGTGATTGTGCTAATGTGCCACTGCCAGCAACACTGACATGACCCGCCCAAATGCCCACCCTAGTTCCAAAAATCCCACGTCCGCAGGCAACAGGCACCTTTTTTTTTTTTTTTACTATCTGGCCAACACCACCAAAACGTCATCACTGTCCACCCCCCAAGTCAAACCAAAACAATCCTCATCATCCCACCAACCCCAACTGATCCTTATTTCCATCTCAATTCGACGGTGCAACTACCGTTCTAGTACTGATACTATATCGTCCTTCTCGCCTTGGTCCTTGGGGACACACTGACGCGTAGCTACCAACGAGGCAAAAACACTTGGTGTCTCAGTAGGTAATTCGCATAGGCAGCCTGTGCGGATAAGGTATGGGATGGTGTATACTCGATGTTGAGAGAGAGATCGAGATCGAGATCTGCTGGGAGACATAGGTGGAGATAGGGGTGTTGTATGTGTGAGGAAGTGCTTGTTTGAAGAGGGGGAAGAGCTGATAATAGAGGGAGATGAGCGATAGTGCGGTGTTTAGAAAACTTGGGATACTATATAATCACCGGTTGAGTCTGAATACTTGGACGAGGTTTAAACTGAAAAGCGACTGCAATATAGCGTAGGGGAATCAATGTAACCGACTTGATTGATCGAGGAATAGTCTGCACAAATGTCTTTCTCAACACTGGATCCGACTTATGTCTAGCGGAACCCAACATTAGCGTTCCAGTGCGGCCTTATGCCGTCACAAAAAGAACGGCAGTCATGCAGCTGGACCAAACATGGCTCTAAAAGTCACAAAAGAGTCACTGGTGGCTTATCCCATGCATTTATGGTCGTGTATATCAACCCGTCCTCGCCAACAAGCGGCTCCCTAGTCCGTGGTATCTCATATCAAATCGTCATGCCCATATCGTCCGTCTCTCGTTCGTCAGGTCCAGTCCAGCGCTTATTTCTTGCCAGACTTCTTGATACCCTGCGATCCCGTGTTGAGCGGGCCCTTGCCCTTTCCGACGGTCTTAGCAAGTTCCTCGCGCGCCTTCTTGTCTGTGTATATTGTCAGTCTACCTATCCGTATGCTTCCTTGTGTGGTTGTGGTGGCACTTCGGAAGGCGAAAGCCCGAGTAGAAGGGGATAGGTGGTGGGTAACGTACCGGCAGCGAGCTTGTTCTTGTATGCGAGGTCGTCCTCGTCGAGCTCGGCAGCCTTCTTCTTGGGCTTCTTGTTGTGAATAGGGTTGGTACCCGCTGAGTTGCCGCGTTAGCCTTGTGCGGGAAATATAACGTCTTTTGTTCGACCCCGCATCGTTTGTGCGCAGAGGCTTTGGTGTTTACATACCTCCCTGTCCTGAAGGCATCTTGAGTGTGGGGTGTGTTACGAGGTAGTTTTTTGGGAGAAAGGTTAGAGTGGAAAGTATTCACTGGAGGCGTGGAAAACGAGGGTTGGTTGCGGGCGGTGAGAAAGGGTCTCGGTCTTGAAGCCTAGGAAAAGTGGGATGGTCTGCACCGCCACCATTTCGTGGCTCGTAATCACGTGATTTTACCATCTACCTGGGATGAATCCATCTTAGCGCTGACCGACTTGTTGGTTGTAAGCATATCTCGACCAGACTACAGCATGTTGCGCAATGTATGTATTTAACCAGCCACCCAATCCTATCTGTGTTACTGTGGTCGTGTTACTTTGATCCTCCGAGGACCTATACGCGACGTATGTATTGGCACTTGCTGGTTTCAGCATGAGTCAACGCGCTCCATCACGCCAGTCCACACGGCTCCACCGCTGGCTATCAAGTCATACCCTCTGGCATGAATCATGGGACTTTTACAATTCAGCCCTATTGTCACGTCTATGATCCCGTCGAGCGGCTTTGCAACAACCGAGACGGCAACGCTTAAGGGGCACTAAACTCAAACACTGACAAGCACCATGCTGGCAATCCCGAAGTTCTGTCGAGGTGAAAACAAGACAGCCCAGCCTGGAGCCAAAAGCTTCCTGCAGCCGCAATTTCCTTGAGTCTAGGCTTGGCCTGCTTGCGGTGAAGCAACTACTACTCATTTGCGACTAAACAGCCGACAATCTTGACCACTCCGAGGTTAGAGCAAGCACTGATCGCTCTGTCGGCTCAATCCCGCGCTGCAAACCCCCGAGAACAACGGCGCTTTAACGCTTTGTCACATGATGCTCATTCGTGGAAAATCACCTGCGATGCCACCCCCAATCCACCAAAGTGGATCGAGTCTCCTTGTTACGAGCAAACTATTGAGCCTCGAGGTTCGCCCCCAGATTCGCTAAATACGGTATGATGGGGTTGAAGGAGCTGAGCGTAGACGCTTTTTAGCACTAGAGCAAGTTGTTGAAGCTTTCCAAGCGAGATGATTCGTGGTGATAAGTATGGGGTTCCCGGAGTAGCGGCAGACTACGAAGATTAGGTATGTTGGTATCAGCGTTCCCGAGCCCATGGGGTTTTATGGGCCTTACTATATTCAATGATAGCTATTCCCCTATGGGCAGATATGAACGTGCCATGTATGTATATATGGCCAACCCAGTCTCCCCTGTTTGCTCTCCAGTCCTGAGCTCCACGGATCAACCGCTGTATACTCTGCGGAATTCGAGCCGGACACACCTTTATCGATTATTTTGAGAGGTAGATCCAAAGAGTCAACGTCAAGATGGTTTCCGCAACGAGAGCGTACAACTGGTACATCTCACTCGTTGCTGCATCATGCATGGTTCTCTACGGTTACGATGCGTCTGTTTTCAACGCGCTTCAGAATTCCGATCATTGGAAGGCTTATTTCAATAAGCCGGGGCCTAATATCATTGGGGCCATTAATACTTCCTATACAGTCGGAGCCGTTGTAGCAGGATTCTTCATGGTGAGATAATATTCAAGGGGAATAACATCAAGTATACTAACGTCTCATGTAGGGCGGTCCTCTTGCAGATTTTGCCGGTCGAAGAGCGGGTATGGCTGCTGGAGCGGTATGTGTCATTATCGCAACGTTGATGCAAACATTCGCGCCCCGTGGTCAAATTGGTGTCTTCATCGTCGGTCGCGTCCTCATCGGTATCGGGCAAGGTCTTGCGCTCACAGCTGGATCCATTTTTATTTCCGAAGTGTGCCCCTCTGAGATTCGAGGCAAGATCATGTCTTTCTGGCAAATGTTCTACTCGGTTGGCTCCTTCATCGCCTACTGGATCAGTTTCGGCACGTCCAAGAACCCGAAGAAGCTCGGTGAGTGGGACTGGAAGATTGTTGTCATCTTCCAGATGCTTGTTCCCATCATCATTCTGTCTCAAGTCTTCTTCATCCCGGAGTCGCCTCGCTGGTACGTGCAGAAGAGTCGTGACTACGAAAAAGCTCGTCAGTCGCTCCGTCGCATTCGTGACACTGAAGAGGAGGTCGAAGTCGAAATCACGACTATCCGAGAGGCCATTGAATTCGAAGCCGAAGCCATTTCCTCCGGATACTCTGCTCTCTGGAAAGACAAATCAATCAGGAAACGCATGTACATTGCCATGATTGTAAACGGTGGCCAACAAATTACCGGTCAAGGCACTCTCAACACCTACAGCTCCATCATCTACAAGAAGGTTTTCGAAAGCGCAGACACAATCTCGCTCATCAACGCGCTCAACGCCACTTTCAGCATCCTCTTCACTCTCAACGCAACATGGACCGTCGACCGCTTCGGTCGCAAGTTCCTCTTCATCGTCGGTGGCATCGGCATGGGCGCCTGCATGTTAATCGCCGCGACCGTCGAAACTCAAACACCGTCGCTCCCCAACGGCGCAAAGTCACAACCGGTCGGCATATCCATTGTCTTTATCATGTTCCTCTTCGCCTTTTTCTGTAAGTCATTCGTCACCTCCCCTCAAATCCCAACTCCTACTAACAACATACAACAGACAAACCCTCCTGGGGCGCAACCGTCTGGATCTTCACCGCCGAAATCTTCTCCATGAACGTACGCGCACAAGCTGTAGGCATGTGTTCGCAAACCCAAAACGTCGTCAACTCCATTGTCCAGCAATTCTTCCCCATTTTCCTCAAAAATGAAGGATTTTACGCTTTCTACATGTTTGCTGCTATCAACATCCTGCTTGCGGTTTTTACGTGGTTCTTTATCCCGGAGACGAAGCAGGTTAGTCTGGAGGAGATGGATGCTCTGTTTGGTGGGAAGAACCATGTGGCAGAGGGTGCGGTGATTGAAAAGGCGGAGGAAAGGGGAGAGAGTGTGGGCGGTCAAAGTGTGGGGGAGAAGGGGGCGACGGATAGGGTTGAGAGGGTTTGATGTTGATGATATGGGATTCGTGGAGGGATACTCTGGTACGAGAATGTAGCCAGTGTGCTGTATTGCATTACGAACCTTGTTGCAGCCAAACCATGGTTCTGGCTGTCATGACACTTATTGTTCAACGTGTTTTATGAACCTAATCTACTACATATCTCAAAGGGCGTCTAAAGTCAACTGTCTGATGAACAAACTTCAAAACATGGCATTCATCTACAGCTGCTTCCCTAGCCTCCTGCTCAAACCATACCAACCAGCAGTCAAAATGCCCACCACCACAAAGACCAAACCTTCCACCACAATCAGACCCTCCACCATAATCAAACCTACCACTATCATCGAACCCATAACTACCATCATCATACCTACCACCACAATCATCAACCCTTTATCCCAACACCCCCCTTCCTCTCCACAAAAATCTCTCTCTCTCAACAGCAACTACTCAACAGCCATATCCCTCTCCTCATCCCTAATCCCGCACACCAGCGACACCGCAACGCACCACATCAACTCATACTGGAACCCGACGCCCACGCGCCCCATACGCATCCCATACGCCCGCTCTTCCACCTCCTGCCTCTTCTCCTGCTGCTCCTTGTCCTCTAAAAACACACTGCCTTACCTGCCACACCCACCCAAGGCACCGGTGCACCACCGGAAAGATAATGTGCGGGATTACTGTGCGGAGGGGGCGAGGGGGTGGGATGGGTTGAGGAGGCAGAGGGTGGAAGATGGGGAGAAGGAGGTGGGGAGGGTGGATTGGACGTGGGTAGGTAAGGGTGGGAGGGTGATGGAGAGAGGAGAGGGGAGGGGGGAGGTGCCGTGGGGTTCTTTGGGGTTTGATGTTGTGGAGAGGGGGGTGTGGTGTAAGGGTGATGGGGAGGAGGAGCAGGAGAGTGATGGAGAGGAGGGGGAGGGCGATGGGGAGGAAGAGGGGGAGGAGAAAGAGGAGGAAGAGAAGAAAGAAGAAGAAGAAGAAGAAGAAGAAGAAGAAGAAGAAGAAGAAGAAGAAGAAGAAGAAGAAGATAACAATAAGGATAAGGAAGAAGACGAGATGATTAAGACGATAGATGAATACTTAGAGTCAAGAGTTTTCTTCAAATAGAAATACTGCATTAGTTTGGCAAGTACAGGTTTGGTGAAATATTCTGTATGTTTTCCATAATTTATGCTACTGACTATAGGATGATTCGGTTACATTTCCGTGAAGTGATCCATGATTCAAGTCCCACAAATCAGGACAATAGGATTATAGTATTTTAAAGTTCTCTTGGTAGTATAAGAGAGAATTCAAATGTTATTTCCTTCAAGTTTAGTAGTTACTGTCTTGACAGCTCATTTTGATTTTGTTGCACCATCCTATTCAAAACTCCCTACAACCAATGAAGTCATGCTACTAGTACCAAGCAACTAGGCTGAAGAGGCTGATCGGAGCATGACAAGAGAAACAACACGATGAAGACAGCACGAATGTTTACTGCACATATGGGAGTGTGGGTGTGGTAGACTGGGTCTAGTCATGCACTACTGGGCGTTGGGCCAGAAAAGAGGCATTTACAGCCCATCCCTGACTCAAGAGCCCACATCCATGGATCCGGATACCCCGGACCCATCTCCACTGGATAGAAAGGCCCATGGCCATGGATGTGATAGCCGTGACCCGCCTTCACAAGGCAGAAGAGATGCACGTCAGATGGATTTGCATTAGTCCAAGGCTGGTATGCTGTCTGAACACTTTGATTCTATCCTATTCTTGTTTTGTGCTGTATATTAAGTTGTTGTCTGGATTACTGTTTCCTTAACTTGTTCAACGCTGCCATAACGCCCTCGCTCATATTATCATCAGGTTGTTTCCTCTTCGCTGGCGTTGCCACTGCTGGTTGGGCCTGGTTGGCCTCCAGCTCGCGCATTGCCTGCTCGTCGTCTTCATTTATATCTTCGGCAAGACGGTGATCAGGCCGCTTGTCGGCATCCAATGCAGACGTTGCAAAAGGAGCAGATCTCTCCAGCTCCTTTGCAAGAGGTACGGCGTCGTCGATCCTTTGACGTGCTGTGTCACCAGCAACTGCCGCACTTTGTGCCTGGTCCTCACCTTCTGTCACGGTTGGTGGGTCATTGGCTTCCTGGACAAGGCCGCCCCGCCTTGCGGCCTTTTGTACCCTAAACGGTTCCCGAACGGCATTACACCATCGCTGGACTTTCTTGTCACCCCAGCCTGCGATCAAGCCAATCTCCTCTGGGGCAGCGTTGATTGCAGTGCGGATGCTTCCAAAGTTGGAGACTAAGCCTACAGCGTCTGTTTTGTTGATGCTGCGCGGCACCGTGATGAAGTCGACTATGTTCTCAGCGTAGGAGCCTGCCTGCTGAGCGCGGATACTGGTCGGGGCTGCATTCTCAAACGTCTTGAAGAGCTCGAGATAGCGGCCGGCCTCCTGGGCGCTCCAGCACAGCATGACGGTGACGTTGTTGACCAGGGACGTCTTGGACAGCTCTCGCAGGGGGTCTTCGTGGTTTTCAATGTCGACCATGGTCAGCAGGATGCGCAGTGTGTACTGGCCCTTGAGATCGCGGATGCGGTTGTAGATGTACTCGGGGTGCAGGCGGTGGTACTTTAGGGACAGGAACAGGGCACAAGTGGTAGCGCCGACGACATAGTCGGGGGCGATGTCTGAATACTCCCAGGCAACGGCGCGCACATTGTTCAGGATGGGATTGCCCTTTTGGCGGGGCGAGACCAAGATGGAGCTGGGCGCAGATCGTGAGGGCAGTGCCTGGGGCTTCGGCTGCTGGACCTTGGGCAGGTTACTAGGCGCGGGCGGATTGGCAGGCCCGGGGCGGGAGGTTTGCGCAGCAGCATGTGCATTTGCTGGGGGGGCCGGGCCAGAGCCATGAGCACGCGGGCGATTGTCGTGCATGTTGGCCAGGACGAGAGGGCAGCAGCAGCAGCAGCAGAAGCAGCAGCAGTGCAGCTACAGCCGCGACATGGAGTTGTGAGCCTGTGCCTGGAACCAAGTGTTTCGCAAACGGGCGATGGGAGGGTGACACACCCTAGCACCTGGACGCGGTTTTGGATCGCGGCCGCGTGAACCGGGCGTGGGCGGGTCACGTGCAGGCTCACAGCGCAGCCCTCAGCCCAAACCGCCGGTGCACCCCATCGTCTCCTTCGCATCTTCACATCTCCCGCCGACCAACGACCCTCCTTGACCCACCGCCACCACCACCACCACCGCCGCCAACACCCCCAGCCCCCATCACGCCCTGTACATCGCCGCCATCTCTCGCCCATCGCTGCCGCCCCCGCCCTCGCATGCGCTTTACTGAGTAGAGCGCCCTCCCTTGCTACCGCGGTCGACCCGCGCAGAGGCCGCCAAGCGCTTTCAACCAGCCCGACCTCCCGCCTCCACTCTCGCTCTCCTTCACCCGCGCTCCCTCTCCGCCGCCCGCCTGCGCTGCCGAGCCCTCGTTCCACGTCCGACCCTCGTGAAGCGGCCTCTATGTCGGATCACAGCGCCAAACGCCAACGCCTGGACTCGATCGGAAGATTCTCACCCGCCAGCCCGCCCTTTGACGTCGCTGCCAAGGCGAGCGGCCAGACGACAAAGACGCTGCCCCATCCGCGCACACCCACCTCACCACCCTACTCCTCGATGAATTCGCAATCCAATGGAGGCTTTTCCACGACAAACACCACGACGTCGTCGGACCGCTCCCCGCAATCCTCAGTCCCCATGGCCCACTCGCTCTCCCAGTCGGCCGCATCGGCATCCAGCCTGCACCCCTTTCCCACCCCGGCCAGCACTGCCGGCTTCCTCTCCAGCGCCAATGTCGATAGCGACGGCGATGCGACGATGGAAGAGAGCGCTGACGATGACACTCTTCGCTCGCGCTGCCACAGGCTGTCCAACCACAACCGGCAGGCCCAGTCACCCTACACGCCCGACGGCCGACTCAAGGCTGCCCAAGGAATCAGCGGCTCCCAATTATTCAAACTCAACACGGACCGGATCGAAAAGTCGAGGCCGCACGCCTCGCAAAATCTGATCCGTCTGTACAGGCTCGAGCCACTCGCCAGCTCCGTAGCCCGCAATGACCCGGTAACAGGCGAGAAGATTAACAAGCTTCGCAAGTCCTACGAGGGTCACATCAAGCAGATGCAGATTGCCGGCAAGCCAAAAGCAACAAAAATGGATGGCGTTTTTCGCGATCTGTTGATGCTGCCAGAAGAGATTTGGTTGCCCAACCACGTGCAGAACCGAGAGGCCGACAAAACCGCCCTGACGCCAGACGGCACAGGTCTCACCCCAGATTTCAGCCAACTGCTCGATAGCGCATTTGCAGGCATGGGTCCTGGACCTCTTCCCAACGCAGATGCTGCCAAGTACAAGGCATATCTGGGCACTGACGACACAGTCAAGCCAAAAGCACAGGACGCTCCACCACAGCGAACGACACCATATACATCGTCTGCGCCAACACCCAATAATCACATTAATAGGGGTCTAGTCAGGCCAGAACGATCAGGGTCGAAGCGTGCATATACTGATGCTGCATTTCAAGGCTACGGTGAAGGCTTTGGAGACGACTATGCAGACTCGACCGGAGGCGAAGACACACCAGGAGGGAGCCTGGCAAACAAGAGACGGAAGCTGCAATTCGAGCGAACGTCGCATTCGGTGGAAGTAGGCGGCGCACGACGATAGTAACGTCGAAACTTTCTTTCGCACTCATCAGTTTACACAGCATCGGGGGTTTCCGGCTCTCTCCATAATCGGCGTTTTACAGGAAAATTTCGGGTTTACGAAAGCAGCAGGGGTGATATCGAGGGTTGTGCATTAGGCGGGAGAAACCGTCCATCATTTACATCATCATCACTATCACCAACACCGGTACCAGCACCCCTATACACCAACAATAACAACCAAACATTACAACAACAACAACAACAACAACAACAATAACCCACCATTTCCTATTGGCATAATGCGCAGCGAAAAAAACGATCGATCGAACGAGGCGAAGCAAACGGTATGACGATCATGATATTCCTATACCTACTTTACATTTCATACATGGGAGGGGAGAACCAGATTGGGGCGCCAGGATGTCGACTTTGAGTCTAGTTTGGTCTTCCTTTTTGCTTGTTTTTTGTGTCTTTTTGTTTGCTGCGCGTGCGCGTGCGTGTGAGAGGAGTGTGTACGTATGGGAAAGCTTTTTGTTTTACCAGTGGGAAGGAGGCAGGGGTGAGGGAAAACTGCTTCATCATTTCCCCTCTATTTCCCTTCCTTCCCGCTCGCTGTTTTCCGCTTTCCTACCCACCTACCCCCGGCAAAACCACCTCTTCAGGGTTTTCTTTCCTCCGACGCGGGACAAGCCAAAGGGAAGGGTTTTTTTTTAAAACACCCACAGCACCACCAAATAACCTACTTCGACATTGTGCATATTTTGGGAAAAGAAAAAAGGGGGAAGCAACTCAACCTTTTTTTATACCCTCATGATACCCTTGGGAATGTCACGGCAAGCAAATTAAACAAATTACTGTTTTTTTGTTCTAATGTGCCTTTCCTTATATCCTAGTTTTTAGAAAAATGATATCAAACTAAGTCAAAAAAAAACTATGCTGTTTTCCCTTTTGAAAATATAGTGAAAAGAACGAGCAGAAGAAGAAGAGGAAAAAAACAAAGTCTCAACGTGTTTGAAACCAGCTTGGTATGTTGTGTGAGCATGGATGATGCAAGTTTCCAAGGAACCACTTAGATTGTTTCTTTTCGTCCTTGTTTTCTTCTTAGAAAACAGTTCTTTCCTTATTTTTTTGTGTGTGCGGAGCGGAATGCGACGGGAACAAAGGGCAAAAGGAAAGGTGGAAGCAGTAACAAGATTCAGATACCCGACACACGTGTGTGTGATGCTGCAAGATGACCAGTTGAAAAAAAAATAGTACATGTGGTATCAATGTCATCGAAACAATTCTTGTACAAAGCATTCACACAACGGGGAAATGTAGATGCGACTTAAAATGTCCGTTCTGTACAAAAGTATTCCTACATTTCCATTTCGGACCAAACATACATGTACAGCATAAAGTACTATCCTATTCCTTCTTCTCCTCGGGCCCCTTCTCCTTCTCTTCCATATCCATCCGTCTCGCCTCAACAGTAAAGTAGAGACTCTTGCTCGCGCCCTCGAGCGCATTGGTAAGACTACCCCCAATACCCTGCAGCATGTGGACAAGCTGTGCCCTGAGACCGTCGAGGCCGCCACCGATACCGCCAACCCACTTGGCACCCTCGACGTCAAACACCTTGCCCTCGACCCGTGCGCCCAGTAGCATCAGCTTCTGCAGTCCGGCCTGCACTGCGGGCTCGTAGTAGTCGGGGTTAGCCTTGCGGCTTGGGGCGGGGAAGTCGGGTTTGGAGGGGGAGAGGATGGAGAGGACCGCTTTGAGGTATTCGGGTGATACGGCGGGGAAGGCTACGACGGCGATGGGGCCAGCGAGGAGAGGTTCCAGTTCTAGCTTTAGTTTGCGGTTGTTGGCTATTTCGTGGGCTCGTCTTGACAGGCCGTGTGTGAAACGCTCGTCGTCGGCTTGGTTGCTGGTCTGCGGTATCTGCGCGCTAGTCGCTGTGCGGGGGTCGGTGGGATGTTGTGCGTGATCTAGAGTGGCTTCTTCTGGGTGGAAGAACTCAACTACCCTCAATGCGCTTGCGAAGATATTGGTTTGCACGACTTGCATCTTGATTTCGTCGGCTAGCGATTCCTTGCCATTGGCTGCTCGCTGCGCATCGAGCTTCCTCAGCGCAATAGCGAGCTCTCGTCGTATGCTCATCCATTCCACAGCCTTGACATTGTTGTGTTGGAAAATTAGGATCAAGGGCGATGACTTGAGTAGCGATTGGTATTGTCGGTGCAATTGTGTCTTGCGGACCTCTGGGGGCTTATGAGAGGGTGGCTGAGTGGGCGGGTACCGTAGCACTGGCGCTGTGGCTTTGTATGTCTGCTGGATTGGCGGGGCGGGGGTAGTTGCTGAGGCTGCGGCAACCGAGGCGTAGGTTGCGATTGCGGGAAGAGAGATGATGTGGTTGGGGCGTGAGGTGCAGGCGCAGAGGGCCCGTGGCCGTATACGTATCCGTGGAGGCATTCTGACACTGTTAATGTTTGTATGAGGAGAGGTTGTCTCTACAGGCGGGGTTCAGCACTTACATGGGCTGTGGTCGTGTCGCAATGGACGTCGAGTTGTTTGTCCAAATATTTCCATGCGTTCAGGTTCGGAGGTGGTCCGTGCTAGGCATCTCACGACGGCGGCTCTTAGCAGTTGCTGGTTATCTTTGAAGTACATTCAAACTTGCTGTACTTCTAGTGTCTAACGTCATAACCAAGCGTTTCCAATTTTTGTTACATCTTCACTTAGGCTAATTCCTCAGCCGTGCGGGCATGGCGACTCAAATGTGGAAAACTCTACGGCAACCCCGAATATCGAGAACACTAATTCAGAGTTGCCGGAATACTAGATACATAACTGTAAGATATTTTGCGTATCATGGATTTCAAATATTTTCAAACTGATCATTATCTCAGACCGATTCGAGAAATCGACTATCTAAATTCTGGGCACCAACTGGCGGAATCGCACCACAAGATGGGGAGCAAGGCAAGCAAGCTTCCGTGTTTTATTCGAAACATCTATTGACGAAGTCATAAGATGAGTCGCATTCTTTGCTTATACGCAGCGGCTTTCTGCGCCAGGTACATCTCACCGTCCCGCTCCCATCACCAGACCCCAACTCATCACGTGCAGGCACATTCAGGAGTCTTCCATCTTCTGCCACTAGGTCTACGTGTGCAAAACAAACTTGAAGCACTTATAGACAGGCATATGGGTTCTATAGGCGCTTCGAAACTTTCACTCTCTACCATTACCACTGAAACATTATGGCGGCAATCCGGCCGGTATTCTGCAAACTCAGAACTCCTTCGCATCAAAGACAGGAAAGAATCCGGGTTTTTACTTTCTCCGACTCATGAAGAAGAGATCACAGCTCTTGTTGCCAGTATGGTACATTCGTACAAGGATCTGCCATTGAGACTGTATCAGATAGGCCGTAAGTACCGCGACGAACGACGACCGAGACAAGGATTACTTCGAGCAAAAGAGTTCATGATGAAGGATTTGTATACATTCGACCACTCGACGGAAGCCGCTCTGAAGACTTACGAATCTGTCCGAGAAGCATACAACAACCTCTTCAACGAACTCAAGATTCCTTACCTTGTCGCAGATGCCGACTCTGGAAACATGGGCGGCAAACTAAGTCATGAGTATCACTTTGTATCGCCAAAAGGCGAGGACAACGTATGGTCGTGTAATTCATGCGACTATGTCGCAAATGAGGAGCTCGTAGAAAAGAAGACTGATAGCACGACAAATACCGGAGACGCGATCACATTCACAGGCATAAGTATAGACAAGAAGACGGCAATCAACATCCACATCCCACGGCCTTCTGATCTAGGAGCAAGCGATACAGGATCCTGGGACACAGCCCCCGCATTCGTCAACTTCCACGCCGTTAAAAAAGCATTACCCGCAGACCTAGACATGGACACTGGAATCGAATCCTCGACCCTCTCGACCCTCCTCCCGAAAGCAATCAACACCATCGACCTATACGACCGCTCTCTACCCTCCAACTCCTCAAACATCGACCTCGCCATCATCAAACCCGGCGACTCCTGCCCGCGCTGCACCCAAGGCAAACTCGACGTCCAAAAAGCCATAGAAATAGGCCACACCTTCCACCTCGGCACGCGCTACAGCACCCCCTTAAACGCCGTTGTTGCACTCCCCGATCAATCCCTCTCCTCCCCCATCCAAATGGGCTGCCACGGCATCGGCGTATCCCGTATAATCGGCGCCGTGGCATCACTCCTATCCGACGCCAAAGGATTGTCCTGGCCCCGCGCCATTGCTCCCTACGAAGTCGTTGTGCTGAGCTCCCCGGCAGCAGACGAAAAAGACATTCACGATGTTTATGATATGTTGTCTGGACGAGGTGGTGATGAGGCAATGGATGTAGTGCTAGATGATCGCTCTGGCAAGAATCTCGGGTGGAAAATGAAGGATGCGGATTTGATCGGGTATCCGGTTGTTGTTGTGCTGGGGAAGCGCTGGAAGGAGAGTAGGGAAGTGGAGGTGCAGTGTAGGAGGTTGGGGGTTGTGAGGAATGTTGGGGTGGAGGGGCTCAAGGGTGAGGTTTTGGACTTGCTGGGCCAGTTGTAAAAACGGGTGTATGGAAATGTTTAGATTGTATGTGTAAATGTGTTCTATATGTGTTTTCTTTTGAAGAGGTGTTTGAAGTAAAGAGTTCTGATGTGATACGAGATCGACGGGTTGAGGTCATAGCTAACCCTGGTGCTAATCTGATCTACAGTACCCAGTCTAGAGGCCTGATCGACACTCGTTTCTGAGGGTGATGCTCCGCAGTGGAAGTTGGGTAGTGAAATGCTGATGATGGTAACGGTATTAATTACGTGCCTCCGCAACGGCTCCATGTATATGACAAAGAGATTATGAATGAGATGTCGCTTGTCAATAAGCGATCCTAGACACTGAAAATGCCGATTGGCAGTTGCAACAAGTGTACTAATATGTATATCGCACCAATCACTAAACTTCCATTGTTGTATTCATAAAATCCCTAGTACATACATGTACCCCTTGCACAGAAAAGGTAATGATGAAAACAATACATGAATACCTACTACACGTGAAACAAACCCATGACTAAGGCCCCTTGAAAATATACGAACCAAGAACAGTGAAGACCACCCCGACCTCCCTTCGACAACTCCACCATAACTCAGACCCCACGCTCACGGATCCGCACGATCCCTAGACCTTGGGCGAGACGAAAAAGTCGATATTCCATACTGTGTGAGAGGGTCCTGATACCGAATCAGAGTTTTTCTTGGTTTCCGCATGCTCCAAGTCCGAGGAGGGGCTTCTGATGTTGTCTTGCCTTGGCGTGGTGACGTAGTCTTCCAAGTTAGGCTACCGATTTTGATACTCGTTTGAGGTCTATGTAAGGGCCTCGACAAACACTGTGGAACCCGTTCTGCAGTTTTGTTGGTGATTTCCCATGCGGCAGTGTGGAATTCGCTGATGTTTCGCTCTAAATCTTCAACGCTCTCCGCAGTGTGCTCTGAATGCTTAATGGTCTCCAAAAATTCTTTAGTTTCCTTCTGATGTCTATTGTGAGCAGGTGCCAATCTTTTCTTTTCTTTTTTTTGTCCTTGGTCATGTCTGTGGTCATGTCCTTGGTCTTGCTCTTTTGTAAGATTGGTTTCTTCTTTTGCAGGTGTTGAGGTCGTAGGTTTCTCAACCTCCAGAGATACCGCTGGCTTGGCTTTTTTTGATAGAGCCATTTTCTTTCGATCAGCCGATGCTTTCCGTTCGGCAGGTAAACTGCTTTCCAGAGCTTTTTGCAACATGTCTTCGTACATGGCCAGTGTATCAACTGTTTCGCCTCGGCGCTCAAGAGTCCTTGTTTTTGTCAATGCGTTGCTCCATGCGACCAACTTGAGACCGAATTCTTTGTTGGACCATATTCCTATATTTCTCGTTCTTGACGTGTGGTGTTGCTTGACAACTTCGTTGAACTCGTCTATGAGAGCTATGATAACAGGATTGCGATCCCTCGGCAATACCGAATCAGCTGGTATTGACGAAGACCTTTGTGAAGCGGAGATAGCCAATTTCGGCATAGCACCTCTGCTGTTTTTACTCAAAAAGAGGCGAGTCAGTGAATCTGGCTGTTCTTCCGTTTTTTCTGGAGCACCTTCTGGTGCAGACTCGTCGGGTGGCGGATTCTCGTTCTTCAGAAGTGCCTTGTTAGCTAGTGTATACTGAAACAATCTCGAGTACTCAGCAGTTGGTTGGCTTCGCAACTGCTTCATATGCACTTACGATTGGATCCAAATCGTCAGTGGTCGTCGGGCCAGTAGCAAGCTCCTCAGTTGACTGCTCTTCAATAATTCCATCAGAGTGATCCATCTCACTTTGCAACGCTAGTGCCGTATGGATCATGATTTTTGTCCTCTTCCTGGTAATTTCTTTGACTTGGGTGCAAACAGCAGAAATAGGAGCTTGTTCAACTTCTTTCAATAACTGCCTTGCATCGATTTCCAGCTTTGCAGCCTCTGTGCGGATAGCAGACTGCGCTTCAGGGCTGATGTTGGGTTTCGCCCCTGACACACCTGTGGTGAAGGATTCGGCATCCCTCCAATGGTTCTGAAGTTCTTCTGCCTTATGTTCCAAAGACTTAATCCTTTCCTCGAACAGTTGCTCTTCCTCCCGATACACGATATGCTGCCATTTCCAGTCCTGTAGTTCAGGATGTGCTTCGGGCAGTGCCTGCAAGAATTGGTGTCTATCGAGTTCGATACTTTTGATAACCTGCTTGACCGTTTCGAGGTTGCGATCAGAATCCACGTAGACAGCGCCGAGTATAGCTTCAAGGCTCTCAGCGCTTTGCCTCACTGATGCGGCAGACACCCCTTCGCCAATTAGGACTTCTCTGTCTATACTAAATTTATGGGCTTTAGAGTGCAGCTTAGATGTTGTTTCTGTTGCTTGTCGGGCCTTCATGTCTATAGGATATGTAAGCTTAGATATGGTCTCACATGATGTTAGTAGGAGATCGCCTACAATGAGCTATCCGGAGTGTTAGTGTGAGTTATATGAGCTACGCGTTAAACACACCTGGTGAGTATCCTGTACTATACCAGATATCACACAAAACCATGCTGAGTACTCGATCTCCCAGCAATGCTAGGCGATTGTTCGGTTTGACTTTATGAACCATCCCTTTAAAAAATAGAGGGTAGTTCAATGCCGTGATCTTCAATGCTTCTACGCATAACATTTTGTTTCTGAAGGTGTACTGAATGCGCTCTTCAATGCGTCCGACCCTTGACACTGCCTCTAACATATCGTGGTGATGTCGTGGTGGGCGTTCGCACCATTCTAATTGCTGAGCTGCAAGTTTCAAATGTATTGCATCTTTTCTCTCGAAGAGATCCGGTATCCGGGTTTTTGGTCCGAAGTGTTGTGGCGGTTCACTGCTACCCCATAAAAGCCTCCGTTGCGTACTGCTGCAATCTGGGGCAGACTTGACCTGCCGTTTGTTCTGGAATTCCTGAAGATGCCATGGTGTGGAATAGGAACAACCAGGGAGCCTGCAAGGAAGGCAGCGCCTCAAAGGCACAGACGGCCAACTGCCTTTGAAGATCATTGGAGACTTTCGAGAGGATTATGTTATTAGAAACTGCAATAAGTGAGTGACATGTATTCCTTGGCGGACAACGTTCTTATTGGATAGTAAAGAGTCCATAAGGGACGTACCGCCGCAGCAGAGAAGCCCAAATCTCACAGGCCAATTACTCCGAGTCGGCCTTTAAGTCATATTTTCTTGACCGAGGCGAGATTAACTCTTGACTTTGCTAGTATTCTTCGTGCAGGTGATGGTGGACCAATGCAACAGGTTAATGCAAGGGGTTGACCGAAATTTCCTCGGGTTTAGGTTGCGCCCGCACGGACGACAGCGCATTTTCGCCACTGTACAAGAACACAGGTTTCGCGGTACTGACTTTCATCGCTGTGAACTTTTATATACGAACTCAGAAATTGCAGTACTCTAAATCATTTCCTTTCCAATCCCGACATTCAGAATGCGGTTGGTTTGGCTAATGTTGTTGAATTCATGCTTCAAGTGCTTGTGCGGTACCGACAACCACCAGTAACCACTTATTCCAGGGACTTCACTACTGTCTCAACCAACAAGGTAAATCTAACATGTGCTCCCGTTTATAGAAAAGAAAGTGCGGCAAGCTGGAGGTTTCCGAATTTCTTACGTCGCTATGGAGAGCGCTTGCGAAAAACCAACATCAGCGAGACTTCTATACGCCCAATCTCATCCCCTTTATGTATTACATATTGCAACTTGGTACATTCATGATTTGTCGTGAATATTTTTATTATTAGAGCGGTGTAATCTATGACATGACACAAACAATAGTCCTCTTTCCTGTCCCTTCCAGCAACCACTACTCTCAGCGGCCATACTAACCAGATTTACGTTGCCTGGTGTAGAAAGCAGGATATTTTCCAGGCTGTAGCATCGACATGCAAACTCTCACAAGCCCTTTAAGCATCTATGATAAGAAAGAACACGAGATGCCTCTTCTCCTATCTCAAAAACCGACTGATTACCTCCCATGAAATCCCCAACAACCATGCCCCGAACAATGCCAAATAGACGCCAATACGTCGTGTAACAGGCCATTTCCTCGCCAAGCACCACCATCACACAATAATGTAACTGTACAACATACCCTACTTCCAAAGACAGAACATATCCTACACCTTCATCCGCTGCGTAGCATCTCCGATCCCCACCCCCATCTTAAAGTAATAATTCACCCCAAGCAAACGTATCCTCCACCCCCCATTACTCCCTTCACCAACACACAAAACAACATGACGGACAACACTCCACACATATCATCCTGCAATCAAACCAGGTCCAGAAGCAGCCTCCACGCGCACAGCAGCACGGTTCATCTTGTTTCTCTGCTTCTCCACCGGGAATTTGCACGTTTTGAGTGGGAATTGGTTGAGCAGCGTAATTCATTTGGGGGTGTTGCTGCCACTGGGAATCTGGACTTGGGTAGGGGTTTGATTGGTACGGTTGTTGGGGATATATTTGAGGAGTGGGTGGGTATGGTGAAGTCATTGTGAGCAATGGTTAAGTAGACACGAAGCAGATATATGAGAGAGCGCTACCGAGCGAGTGATGAGTAGTTTGATTTTTGGGGTGATGGATGATGTTCCATAGCATGATGCGTTTTTATGCCGAGCTGTTACTTTCACCTTGTGGCTTCAGCTGAAGAGCAGCCGGTCGGCGCCAAGGAGACAAGAGACGGATACGTATATGCTGTACGACGTTGGCCTTGCATGCATCGAGTATGGTTTTTCTTGGAAGGATAAATTCATGTATATGAGTCATTAGAAATATAGGTGTACAAGAATAGCATCCCGATCCTAGCCTGTAGAACCCAGCTTCCTACAAAGCCCCCAGGTTTCCATCCGAGACAGTTAGTATACAATCGCCCTCTGCTTAACTGATCTTCCCGCTGGCTGGATACTCTGCGGGTTGCGGAAGACGTTGCGCGGGTCCACTGAAGCCTTGATCTGTTGTAGCTTGCTCACATTGTCGTCCCAGTAAAGGGCTGCACTGTTCGGGCCCAATGCGGGATCGACATAGCCCGGGTACACGCCTTGATCGCGGTCTGCTCGCGAGTTGATGACGACGTCGTTGATGCCGTTGAGGTAGGCGCGACTCGTGTCGTTGAGCTGCATACTGTTAGAAAAGCCGTCTATAGTGTGAAACGATGTGGGATGAACTTACCCTGCCCAATAGGTTGACGGCATATGCTTGGTGGAAGAACAGCGCGTCGCGGTGTCCATACGCAGTTGCATCTTCCGCAACGTCGTTGACGGCGCCACCCGCAAGATCCCAAATCATAAAGAAAAGCGCACCGCCCTTGTCTGCCGTGTCAATGTATTTGAAGACCTTGTCAACCGTAGCATCTGACATCAGATCTTTCTGTGTATAGGCAAGGGTTTTGGCATAGAAGTGAGCTGGGACGTTGCCGACAATTTGCAATGCGACCTGCTCTGACCAGTGACCGACAGCACCGAGCCAATCCTTCATCTCGATGGAGCTATTGCTCTGGCTTGTTTGAAGACGGGAAGAGAGGTTCAGGCTGTCGTACTCTGCTTGGCTACCAAAATAAGTACCAGTGATGATGGCGCCAATAGGTCCAGCAATGATGTACTGGCTGGCGAACTTTCTCGAAAGTTGAGGATCAGACACCAACTTCTGCCACCTCTTGAAAAGATCTGCCTTTGATTGTGTCGAGCCACCTGCGAAAGTGTAAGAGTAAATGACAGCGTTGCTGGGTGCTGCTTGAGTCCGAAGCTTGAATTCAGTGACGATACCAAAGCTGGCGCCAGCTCCTTTCAAAGCGAAGAAGAGATCCGGGTGTTGTTTATCCGAGGCACGCACGACAGTTGAGTTGGCTAGAACGACTTCGACTTCCTCAACATGGTCGAGAAGAGCACCCCACATGCGAGAAGCTGGTCCAAGTCCACCGATAAGTGCGTGTCCTCCGACACCGACTTGTGGGCATGTTCCATAAGCCATGGCACGGCCACCATTCTCGCCGAGTCGTTTGGTGAGGTCACCAAGACGGGTTCCGCTACCAACAGTAGCTTGCCAGGTAGAAGTATCGATAGAGAACTTCTGAAAGTGCTTCAAGTCGACGACAACAGCACCGTCCTGTCCTCCAATGCCGTAGTTTCCAAATGAGTGACCGCCGCTGCGCGATTGTACAGCCAGATTGCACTCGGCAGCACATTTGACAATCGCAGCAACTTGATCGGCAGTGCTGGGGTAGGTGACTGCGGTGGGCGTGATCTGGATATCAAGATTGTATGGCTTGACATCATTGATTTGGTAGAGAGGGTCGCCTTTGAAGGCGACATTGTTGTCGCCTACGGCGTTGATGAGACATTGGTGGATCGTGGAACCTGCAATACCTGCAGACCCCCCAGTATGTGTGGAGATTCCCGATTGGGCGGCACTCACGATGTTGCCCATGATTATAATATCTTAATGTATGGTGGGTTGTTGGTCCACTCGAGTGATATCAATTGGAATACGTACATGAAAGTATGCACACAATCTTTGAAATGAATGGCAACTGGAACTCTGGAAAGAGCAGCTGAAGAACGAGTGATAAGAATGAGGGTAATGAATGGCTGTGAAATCTCACGTATTACCACCGCGTCTGGTCCAAAGGACGGATGTAGATGGCAAACATGAGGCCAAAATTAATAATAAGGGTGTGAATGCGTACACTTTCACGCATAGCCTTCATGATGCAAGTAAGACTTACGGCAGACGATCAAATCGTACCGAAAGTTTCTGTTCATTTCGTTGTCTCTGCTCCCATTTCCCATGCCCATGTCCCAACAAGGGACGTTCATAAGTGCTCGCCAGGCTTACTTACTACAACTATATATTTTCATGACAAGGATGATCTCCAGATGGTCAGCACTAGTATCGGCAAATAACGATTGACCGCAATACGGAACGGCCGCCAAGGCCAGACGGTATTCTCTGCGCCTAATTTGGTGCGCAAAGGCAGTCCGTGAAAGCCGGCTTAAAGGTACGGTAATTTGCGGCTTGATGATGACTTTGCATGCCGTACGTGGGAGCTTATAAAGTTTAAGTGGTGGGGCCTTGAAGAGGCAGTGCGTGTATCGCGAGTCAGGACCTTGCTCATGATGTGATGAGAAACTTGCGACCAATCAGTCTTTTGCAAGAGTGAGAGTCAGTGGGGACTACTCTGGGCGTCGTTTCATCGGCGATTACAACTAGACTCGATTGCTTCTCAATACCATATACTTCTCGTCCGGTGATGCGGGATTACGTCTACCCCTTCCTTCTCTTTTTCCTTGGCCAAATCGTATAGGAAGAAGTCAATGAGAATCGCATTAACCTCCGTATCTGGTTTGAGTTTGCTGATCTCACGGCGGAGAAGTTCCACGGCCCAGATGCTGCACCCGCGTATTTGCATTTCCCAAGTATGCCCTGATTCGATAATTTCAAGACGGCGGATTTTGTTCTCGAGAGGCGGGCAGTACCATATGATGCCTAATGAATGCAGCATCTGCGGTATGCGGTAGTCTAGAAAAGCATGAATTTTGTGCATCGATGTTGCGGATGAAATGTATACGTACCTGCGAACATGGTGATCTTGTCGATATCGTTAAATTCACCATATCCCTCGCCTTCAAAAGCCGCCCATAAGTCTGCTACGAAGATCTGGGCCCGCTTCAAGAAGCGCACCTTTTTGTTTTCAAAAGTGCCCTCATCTCGGAAGCAATTGAACTTTTCGGCAAGTAAGTTGACTAGGCTGGCTGCTGAATTATTTGCATCCTCAATGAGGGTGACCACGCTACCGTCAAACTCCTGTTCCGTCAGTCAAAAACTGACTTCACAATTTGGGGTCTTTTTTTTTGCGAATGAACCCACCTCCTCTAGAATCTGTCCAGCCTCTTGCAGACACCGTACCCTTTGCTCAAACATGGGGATCTCCTCGTCCGTGCCAGAACTAAATACCGTGCGCAGCACTTCTTCTGAACATGCCTCCTGGTCAACCCAGAACTCTGGACTAGTGATGGGGATTTCTTGCTCTAGGGCTCTTTGAAGTATTGCTACTAGGCTCCAATAGCCAGTCCACCTCTTTCCCTTGTAGACTACAGCAAACCGGTCTTCATCATTCTTTTCACTCCAGAAGCTGAAGTTCAGCAGGTCCATTGTGAAGATAAAGTTGACAGTGTTCTCATCCTTGGTTTTCGGATGCAGTTCGTGCTCGGACCATGATTTTGTTGAATACTCACGCTTTTCCATTTCATCGAGCACAAGCTGAGCTGCGACTTTTGTCGACCGCATGTCCAGCGCAACATCAAGGCTATTGTCGTAGATGAATTGAGCATTTTCGAGCACTCTTGTTTCCGGGGGACCGTCTTGTTTGACACCGCCACCCCAATGCTTCCGCATAAGGTCTAGCAGCTCCAGGTCGACCTCATCGTCGGACATGATGAGGGCAGGGAGAAGCCACTAGCTCCAGTATCGAAAAGGGCAGGGAGGAGAGAGAGAGAGGCCCAGACAAGAGGCAAGTCCACAATTCAGGTGAGTAGCGATGAATGTGCGTCCCTGCGTCTCGAGTGGTATGCTCCACTCATAGGGCGTTCGTTTAGGTGCCAAGATTCGGAGGCTGAGAAGCTGGCGGCGCGAACCCGGTGGAGCGGCGCTATGGGCAGCACTGACGTCTCTCGTCTGTCGTCTCTAGTGTCTCTGACCTTCACCTTCACCTGGGAATCGGCGTCGCAGCCTTGTGCTTCGCATGTCGCAACCTCGCCAGTAACCCAACTCAACTTCTGGTCTTGTACACAACCGAACCCGCAATGGCTCGCGACAAGTTTGCTCGCCAGAGCCTGGGCGGCGCGCTCCACCAGCGCATTAAAGAGGTAACTATCCGCCTACGCAACAGAATCCCCAGTCGTGGCTGACCAAGTCCAAGTCGCGCGTCTTGATGGTCGGAGCTGGGGGCATCGGCTGCGAGCTCCTCAAGAACCTGGTCCTCACCGGCTTTGGCGAGATCCACATCGTCGACCTCGACACCATCGACCTCAGCAACCTCAACCGCCAATTCCTGTTCCGCAACGAGCACATCAAGAAGTCAAAGGCACTGGTAGGGCAACCGCTACATCCACACACGTGGCTGGGCATGCGCTGACCCCCCGACAGGTTGCGAAAGAGTCGGCTGCCAAGTTCAACCCCAATGTTGACATCATCGCATACCACAACAACATCAAGGACACCCAATTCAACGTCGTGTGGTTTAAGACCTTCCGTCTCGTCTTCAACGCGCTCGACAATGTGGATGCGCGCCGCCATGTCAACAAAATGTGTCTGGCGGCCGGCGTGCCATTGATTGAGAGTGGCACCACGGGCTTCAACGGCCAGGTCCAGGTCATCAAGCGGGTGCGCAACCAGAAACTCAAGCTTCTTGAGACTATACATGCTGACTGTTGCCAATAGGGCGAAACTGAATGCTACGATTGCACGCCCAAGGATGCGCCCAAGTCCTTCCCCGTCTGCACCATTCGAAGCACCCCGTCACAACCTATTCACTGCATCGTCTGGGCAAAGTCTTATTTGTTTGCTGAGATTTTTGGCACGTCTGAAGATGAAGCCCCCGAGCTGGATCACAGTGAAGATGCCGATAACGCGGACGAGGTCGCAAACCTGCGCAAGGAGGCACAAGCGTTGAAGCGCATACGCGACTCCATGGGCTCCCAAGATTTCCCACGGCTGATCTTTGACAAAGTCTTCGAGGAAGACATTGAGCGTTTGCGGAGCATGGAAGATATGTGGAAGACTAGGAAAGCACCCGAGGTTCTGGATTACGAAAAGCTGGTACAAGAGTCGGCGGAGGTGGGTGAATTCATCGCGCAACAAGACCAAATCGTTTGGACTGTTGCCGAGAATTTTGCTGTCTTCATTGATAGCATAAAGCGACTGAGCAACCGGCTGGAAGAGACGCGCGCAAACAATGAGATTGGAAACTCAATGCCCGTTCTCAGCTTCGACAAGGACGACGTAGACACGCTCGACTTTGTTGTCGCAAGCGCCAACCTCCGGTCACACATCTTTGGCATTGAAATGCGGTCCAAGTTCGATATCAAACGTAGGGACTCTGACACGGACTTTGAGAAATCTTGCTAACAGACTGTAGAAATGGCCGGTAACATCATCCCTGCAATCGCAACCACCAATGCCATGACTGCCAGTCTCTGCGTTCTCCAAGCCTACAAGGTCTTCCGCGAGCAGCTTGACAAGGCAAAAATGGTATTTCTTACCCGCGGCACAGAGCGTGTCATCTCCAGCGAGCCACTCCGGCCACCTAATCCCCACTGCGCGACATGCAGCGTATGCTATGCTTCGCTCGCTGTTGATACAAAACGTGCAAAGTTGAGCGACTTGGTCGACTACATTCTGAAGGAGAATCTTGGATACGCTGAAGATTTTAGCGTCAAGCGTGATGCCGATATACTTTACGATGTGGATGAGGACATTCATCTTGATAAGACATTTGAGGAGCTGGGGCTCAAGAACGACACTTTCATCACCATCTCCGACGATGCAGAAGAGAACGCCAAGGTTGACGTGGTCTTTTCCATCACTCATCAAGAATTCACTGAGAACGCAAAGCCTCTGAGGCTACCCGATGAGGTCAAGATTGCAACAAAGCCCAAGGCACCCGCTCCAGAGACCAATGGGCATGCTACTATTAACGGCACCGTTCCAACCAACAATGACGCTACAGATGAAGGTGCGAATGGTGCTACGAAGCGAACAGCTACCGAGGCCGGTCTGAATGATGAGCTCATACGCAAGAAAGGCAAAGTCATGGAAGAGCCTCTGAAGCAGGATGGTGACCATATTGTCATTCAGGAAGACCACATCAACGGTGCCATCGTCATTGAAGATGACTGAATAAGCTATACGCTAAAACGCTTGGTCAACTCTTGCAAGTTGGCGCGTCATCTTCTAGGATTGCCCCAGGACCCTGATCTCATCCACCATTGCCAGAACCTTGGCCGTTTCTAACCTTTCCCGGTTTCCACACTGTAGCAAATGCATTACCAGCATGTTTTGCTTGTTGGTCAAGGGTAGCACCACCCTTGACTCTCCAATCGATTTGCGCGGCAGTCTCAACACCTGCGAAGCACACATAGATTTCCTACTCTGTACTATAGCAAGTCTGCCATCTAGTCAGTCTTTGAGCAAAAGGCGTTTTCAAAGGCAGCATGGACACGAATATACCTTTTTGCTTTCCTCTTCTTTTCAGGACCTGTTCGGTGGCGAGCGAGTAGGTCAACCTCATAAGTGGGCGAAGTAAGAAAATAACGACCGTACCCACGTAGTCGCACTGGCAAAAATATCATACAATAATGCAAGATATTAGACATCCCACTTCAATCTCAGATGACCTAGATTCAGACGGCAGACAGCCCCCCATCCAGATTAATCACACAATTATGTGCATACTGATTCTCCGCAAGAAACAGCGCTGCATGCGCAATTTCTTCCGGTGTCCCAAACCTACCCAGCGGAATTCTTTGTTGGATTTCCGCAGAGTTGAGATCTACACATCACCACTTGTCAGTTTCCAACTCACTCTCACCAACCAGCCCTCGGACACAAAAACATCACGTACCTCTCGTCATATCCGTATCCACGTAGCCCGGCACAATAGCATTAACCCGCACCTTATGACTCGCATACTCGGTCGCCAGCGCGCGCGTGAAACCTAGCACACCCGCCTTCGACGCCGCATAAGCAACTGCACCGTACCCGCCCTGCAGACCCAGCAGTGAGGCCACGTTAATAATAGTTGGGCTGTGGCCCTGAGTTTCGGTCTTGGGGCCGCGCATGTACCCATTGCGGATTAAGAACTTAGTGCCGTGCATTGGGGCGGTTAGATTGGTGGTGATGAGTTTGTCGATGGTGGTCTCGTCGAGCATGCTGAAGAGTCTGGCTTGTGTTATGCCGGCGCAGTTTACGACTACGTCGATGTGCGAGGGGTGTGTGGAGGGTGCGCTCCGGGGTGGTTTGGGGAGGTGGGTGCCGAAGGAGTGGGCGGACCAGAAGGTTGGGCCGTCGGATATGTTGGCTGCTATGTAGCCGTGCTGGTATTGGATGCAGTTTGTGTCTGGTAAGGTTGATTGGGGATGGGGTGTTGTCAGAGGGTGTAATGACGAGACGGCGGCTTGAAGATTTTGCTCTGAACGCGATATCAGGGTGCATCTGTATGCATTTTTTGCGAATAGTTGGGCTATGGATAGTCCGATGCCGCGACTCCCGCCTGTGATGAGTATATGTCGCGGTCTCGTTGCCATGGTAGAGTTTTTTTTCTTCTCCAAAGTCAATTGTGAGACTTTGAAAAATGGTAGTTGATTATTCTCTCAGCCTCTAATTGTTTTGCCATGTAATCTTCTGTTGAACTACAGAGATGAGGCCAATTGCCAAGCCCTGACCAATGTGAAGTAGATGGGCGGGCTTCGATGAATTGAGAGAGATGAGATGATGTCAGTGTCCAACGTCCCTGCTACGCGAGAAAACGTGACTGCGCGACTCGCCAGCTTTCCCCGCAATTCTTACCCTTGCCTCTCACCCCCACGACGAATACCTTTTCCGCCCATTGCCTGCAACAATGGCAGACGACAAGCCCACCGAGTACGTCACGTTGGTGTCTAACGACGGCTACGAATTCAAGCTGTTGCGTTCTGCAGCATGCATAGCAGGAACAATCAAGAAGGCGCTGGATCCTATGTGTACGCCTTGCAACCTCAGGATCATGTACCACAGTGGACCCTGCAGCGACTAATGATACCCTTCAGCTGGCTTCCGGGAAAATGCACAGAATCGCGTCGATCTACCGACCATCAAGTACGTCTGGATATTCGTCTCCGCGCCCCGCATGTGCTGCCTCAATAGGCTCACGCCACTGAAGGCGAAAGATACTTGATGAGCTTTAACTAACCATCAGTCAGTGGCGTTGTACTAGAGAAGGTTTGTGAGTACCTTTATTACAACCAGAAGCATGCGGAGAGCAAAGACGTCTCGGATATGGATATACCGCCTGAGCTGTGCTTGGAGCTGCTGATTGCTGCTGATTATCTCGATGGTACGACCATATACATGACAGCAAGGACCTGTACTAATGATTGTAGTTTGAATATTGGACTATGTACTTCACTACATCCATTACATAAGCAACGTGCTGTAAGAATATATGCGCTCGAGCATACGACTACCACACTCGAAGACTACGTCAGTCAGGTGGTATGATGAGGGATGTATGGCGGGTAGTCGAAGTCTCGCCAGACATAGCGGCTTGCCAACAGAAGTATTCAGTGCCAATTCTGACGAACGCCGATCAATTTGTTAAACAAGAATACTCTGTGTTTCCACATTCCCTACGCCTCTTTACTGAATCTTACTGTTGAGGTATTATATGGCGAAGTAGACAGTCACAACTACCTGTTTTACTGCCGAATTGAACTCCATGTCTTCTCACCAAGTTGCATAGCATTATGTATGAAATCCTGCGCTACAATGCGGCCAAGATACTTCCATTCCCTCAACCCCAACTCATATAGACTCAATTTCCATGCCCCATAAACCACGATCAGCGACACCGACATCCTCAGCATCCTCCTTATTCTCATCCTAACCAATCCTTCATGTGTGTACTCAATATTCCAATCACTCCACTTGGCAAACAGGCAACGATACCAAAAGAAGACTTGCGAGTAGGGATACACAGTCGAGTTCCAGCCATTGTCGGTAAAATACCAGCTCGAACACCCGCTATTCCAGACGGTATTGTCGACCGCACGCTGCACCTGGGCCGTGTACGCCTTTTCGGTCTCGGGATTGACGTCGAAAGTGCGGGCGTCATGGGTGAGGATTAGACGGATGAAGTTGATGGAGTAATTGACCATGTCTAGTAACGTCAGTAAAGAAAAAAATCCACCTCAGTTTAGCTCGACGATTTGTAGAGAAGAGAGGGGTTATAGAGCAACGGGTAGCAAGACTTACTTTCACTCGCCATAAGTACACTGGAATGCCCAGTCACAGTATTGGGTCCGAATATCATCATAAAATTCGGGAACCCGTCCACAGCCGTGCCCTGATACGCCTGGGCGCCTCCCCTCTCCTCCATGGCCTCGACAATATCCTTTCCCTCTTTACCAATGACTTTAAGCGGATGCAACCATCGCGTTGTGTCGAAACCGTCGGCATGAACGATGATATCAGCAGGGATCTCGCGTTCAGGATAGTCTGCCTTCTTTGCATTCGCCGGGTACGATGCACCTAGTCCGACAACGACGCCCGTCTCAGTAATTCTACTCAGAGGCTGTGTCCGTAAGCTCTATGCTAGGATAATTCAGCCTACTCAACCAGTACTGATTGTAGATACGGCGTTTACATCCCACACCGTAGTCCAGCGTCAGTGTGTCCCAGTATTTCCTCGGTGCAGTCTTCCGCGTGTGGTCGAGGAGCCAGTCCTAGTATTTCGCGCGCATGGCCAGCGAGAAGGGGCTGTTGGGGAAAATTTGGAAGAAGTTTTTTTTCGAGGTTGTAGAAGATGGTGAAGTGGATGGTTTGTTGGAGGGCCGGTATGGTGCGCATTAGCCAGGGCGCGTTTGCGCTCCACCACTTGTCGCCGCTGGGAGGTGGAATGGCGGCGACGACCCAGGGTGGTGATCGCATGATTTGGGTTACGGATTTGACTTTGTAAGGGGGGTGAGGGAGCGGAGGCACGACTTGTGTGCTGATGCATCCTGATCCTATCACTACGATGTTTTTGTCTGTAAGATTGGCTGTGTTGTCCCATCGTGCAGAGTGAAAGATTTTGCCTTTGAAGGTTTTGATGCCTTTGATGTTTTTGGGAAAGGCTTTGGGCTCCACTAGGCCGCCCACACAGCTCAGTACTACTTTTGCTTTTACGACTTGCGTCTCGGCATATACTGCCTGCTTGCCCTTTTCTTGCACTATTTTCATGGGGTCTTTGGATGAGATGTCACCCATGCCTGCGACTAGGCGGCACAGAGTGACTTCCCATAGGGCTTCGTTGTCTAGCCATCTACAGCTCTGGATGTCGGTGTTGAGCTCGAATTTCTCGGTGACTTGATATTTCTCGCACACATCGTTGTAGTACTGGACGATTTCCTTGCCGGGTGGGTGAAAGGAACTCCAGTTAGAGTTTTGGGCAAAGGAGAAGGAGTTGAATATTGCGGGTATGTCACTGTGTAGTATCAGTGTTGGGGGATACTTTCTTTCTTACAGTCATAAATGATGTAGTATAGTGTGAGAATTTGTAATGTTTTCTCTTTAATGCAAATATGGGTATGGAGATATACCAAGAAACATCAGGATACCGATTGATCCACCAAGTCCCTCCAATTCCAGTCTGGCGGCCAAAGACGCGCAACTGATCGAATCCGAGTTGGGCTTTCAATTGACATGCTGCAGCGATGCCGGACGCTCTAGCGCCGACAATAATAGAAGGGTAGTATGTATAGGGATTTTTTTCATACCCGTTTACCCTTTTTATTGACTCGGTGATCATGTTGGCGTCTTCACAGAGTGAGGATCAAAATGCAGGGTGGAGGGCGGGGAAGAGGTGAGGCAATGTACAGGAATAAAAAAAGGATAAAGCAGTACCAAACTCGATCAGATCCAAATCTAGGAGTATCTCTGAGAATGAAAGGTATGGTTCATGTTTACGTATTCAGCGCCAGTGGCCGAACAATAGCTAATCGTTCGACGCGCAATTTTAGCGATGAGCGTTGTTGTGATTGCAATCCTTTGCCCCGGTGCTCTTCCTGTGCCATGCCCCACCACGGATATGAACAAAGAATAGGTAATTCAGGATCCAATAACGACATCAACCACCAAGGGCAAGGCTATTGGTCGAGGGTACTGTCACTACCATTGCACCCTGACCCAGCGATGACAGGGCAATGATGCCCACTTTACCCACACCATGAGATAATCTTGTGCAAAGGGAACGTCAAAAATGAATCTCAGATATCTCTTTGCACGTAAGGGTGCTGCACACTCGCAATGTGTATCATTCGGCACCAGGCCGTTAGACAATGGCGGTGCAAGATGTCACGTGGCTACGCGGATGTGGCACGGGCTGCGCGAGCCTTGGCCGCTCGCGAACCTGACCTCATAGTTTGGTTGGAGCCTCAACCTACACGCTCTCCACAAAACTCGAGTGGAACGAGCTCGACGCTCCTGAAATTATCATGAGCAGGCCTTGAACGGAATATTTTGGTCCTTTGAGCCTCTGGTCAGGACCCACATCAACGCCATGAATACCATCGATGGCTCAGACCGTCATATAAAGACGGAAGAAGGCAAGGCGATTTGGACAAGGACCAGCAAATTCACCACTAACAGCACTCAGCCCCTCCACCCTCGCTGCTAGCCATTGTACTTGACACAAACCCACATGCCTGGGCACACTTGTCCTCGACACTCTCGCTCTCGACTGCTCTGGCCAACATTCTCGTCTTCATCAACGCGCACTTGGCATCTGGAAATATGAACGAGGTAGCCGTCATAGCATCGCACTCGCACAAGACCACCTTCCTCTATCCGTCGCCTGTAGCGCCGCAAACCCAGTCACGCAATGGCACTGCAAATGGCGATGTGGAAATGAATGGGACTGGGGATGATAAAGGCCAACATACGGCTGAGAGTGCGAACAAATACCGGCCATTCGCTGTGGTGGAGAGCACGATACTGCAGAACTTTGTCAAGCTGCTGAACGAGACCAAAGAAAGTCATCTGGAAGCAACGCCCACGACACTCATTGGCGGTGCCCTCTCGCTGGCGCTTACGCACATCAACAAGCAGACTATTTTACATGCTCCCACCGCTGCCTCAGCTGAGAGCGCCTCTCTGGCAGCGCTGGCCGACTCGGAGAACACCCATGTTGACCGCGTGTCGCTCACATCTCGCATCCTCATCGTATCCGTGTCTGGCGATCTGGCCAACCAATACATACCCGTCATGAACTCGATCTTTGCTGCACAGAGGAAGCGGATACCTATAGATATTCTGAAGCTGGCTGGTGATACAGTCCTGCTGCAGCAGGCCAGTGATGCGACTGGGGGAGTGTACATGAAGCCAGAGCGTCCAGAGGGTTTGCTTCAGTATCTGATGATGGCCTTCTTACCTGACGTAACGGCAAGAGCTAGCTTAGTAGTGCCCAGCGCCGGTGGTGTTGATTTCCGTGCCGCATGCTTCTGTCATCGCAAAGTTGTTGATATTGGCTTTGTCTGCAGTGTGTGCTTAAGCAGTAAGATGAACCTTCTTTGTCTACCCCGCCCACAGATGCCCTAACACCGCATAGTTTTCTGTAGCCCGGATCTCCCGGGTAATCTCTGCCTAACGTGTGGTTCCTATCTATCGCTACGAAGCGCGATGACCAACCCGCCAGCCCTGATCCCACGGAAGAAGAAAAAGAAGAAGAAGGCGGGGATCGACTCTGGAACACCAGGGGCGAACACTCCGGTAGGATCAGGGACACCTGCGCATCCCTGAAGTGCGAACCTTGTTGCTGGAATGCGTACTGCTATCACATGTCGTGATCTGGTTCGACATTGCCTCGCTGGGCCTGTGCGTACAGCTACGAGAATTTCCGGGCCGTGGGGCGGGTCAGTTCCGCTGAAATATGCGAATTCGGCCGTTCATGGGGAAAGTGGGATGCTTGGCTGGCGGGCAGATTAGGCTGCCAGGTAGGCTTTGGTAAAAGGATCAGAAAATAGGCCTATGGATAAGGCGGAGAGGGTATAGGGTGGACTTGATTTGACGCATAAGAACCGATGGTCTTGGTTGAGGTGCTCATTTGAAGCTAAGGGCTGCATGCTCGGCAAACATGCACATAACATGAGTAAGGCGTTGGGTGCGGGTCCAGCAACCTCTCTGTGGTTGTTTTGATTTGTGGTTGGTTGTTAACGACATGGCCATGGATTGCTCTGTTTGCAGCTAGACGAGCGGACACGATTGGTTAGGCTGTGTACATTAAGGAGCAGCTCGCGAAGAAATGTTGAAACAATGCTCATCAAGGCTCAGGATATGATGGGCCGCGTAGGTTGCTCGAAGTGTCTATCCGTAACGGCCTCGTTTCGACAAGTCAACAGCCTCAGCCTCTGGCCCCGATAGCCTATCTAACAATAGCCACCTACGTACGCCGGTTAGGTATGTAAATATACAAGGTGATAGTTGAAGATGTCAAGTAGCCAGTGGCAGGCGGATGCCAGGGATAGGCGAGCGGTAGGCGCAAGAAAAAAGGAAAAGAGGGCTTATGCAGAGCGGGATGATTGGGGAAGACGAGGCGAGCAGAGCACCCAGCAGCATGGTATGATTGACAAGCCGGCAGCGCTACCGATGGATGCGGACAGCAGAAACATGTATTAGATGGCCCTCCAAGGGGCTGCTGCTGCATGATGCTCGAATGAACCTGCATAGTGCGCGGCGCAGTGGTTGTGGCGATGCGAGATGTCGGAGAGATAAGGACGTGGGTGGTCGCATCACTACTTGGGCACACCTTCTTCTTCTCTCTACAGAGCGCGTCGTGACCGGAAATTGGGAGTTTCCCAGACAAGCAAAGAGGGTGGGAAGCGGATGATGCGCAGCCATGAAAAGCGCAGTCTCCTTTTATGCAAAGATGCAGCATGAACAAACGAGGATGGGTGTCGCGTTGAGTAGTTGCGCAAGGAACGATGTGCTGCATGGTGGGTATCTCTGATCGCCGCCGTATCTAGGCTAAGGTGGGCGTGTGCCCCATCATAGCACGCCTCGACGCCCGGATACGCACAACAGGGGGGGCCTCGACAGCCTGCGTAGCCCGCCTGGCCTATCAGCCCTATTCACGTTATCACTACCCTTGCTCCAGCTGCTCTCCCAAGCTCTGAGCAATGGCTTTGCATCATTATGCTGATAGCAGAGAGGCCTGTGTCGACCCGCACACTCGGTCTCATACCCTCGACTGGGCGAGGATGAGTGAGACGGAAGGATTCGCGAGCCAGAGTACTTACGTGGAAATGGGAACAAAGATGATGAAGAAGAATAGCACGAGATTAAAACAAAAACTCACGCCACTCGAGCCAGTGGTTGCCACCAAACAAGCCATCGTTCCCAGGCCGTCGACCCAGAAGCTGTCAAAAACCGACTCTGTGACATCCCGCACGTATGGTTCAAGCCAAAAGGGTCCGTGGGGTCGGCCGTGTGTGCCAATGTGGGCGGCACCCTGCAGCTTTGGCTTGCCAGTCGAGCGAGGTGCTTTTGCTTTTGCTTTACGACCCGCCCCCCCGTGGCGGATATTGGCTGACAAGCAATGGGGTACCGCACAAAGTGTCTGTGTGTCCCCCCATCCTATCCCACCCTCCCAATCCCGCACACTAGCTATCAAGGCCAGATCCCAGGACCACCCGCTAAAGCGTCCCTCTGATTGACCTGCAACTTGCATCCGGAAACGGGCGGTCCTGGACGAGAGAGCTTTGATCCATAATATCATTCCTTCTACATATACCTACTCCATCCATATAAGCCCAACCAAGAAAAAAAACGGCCTTTCGCACGTAAACCCCTTGGCCTCGCATGCGCGTACATTCTTATTGTAGTATACATTCCCAAACTACAGAACCTTGGCCGCCAGCTTGACCCATATACCGCCGTTTCCAACCCTCCGATCCCAGTTTGCGCCCCGGCTTCTTCTCTTTTCTCACCTGCATATCCTTCGCGCGTTTCAAGGGATCGCAGTGTTGTTGTTGTTTTTTTGCTTTATTTTTGCTTTCTCGGGGCTTAAAAAACCCCAATCGAGGCCCGATCGCCAAGGAATACGAGGGCAGAAGAATCCCTGGAGGGTGTAGCGATATCCACCAAACCCAAAGCCCGCTCCACCTCACCTCCATCTTTCTTTTCCCTTTTTGTTTACCCTCGGGAAAGGCACCTCTTCCACATCCCGAATTCCCTATCTTGATCAGCCATCTTCTTTTTTGGAATTTCCATTAAAAAAGACACATTGTGATCTTTCTTAAAAATAGCTACTTTTGGCTGCTTGGAAGAACCGTCTCACGAATAAATCCCGGACCTCCCTTGGAACGCGAAAAGGACTCAAAGCTGTAGGGGAAAGAAAGAATCTTTAAAGAATAGCGGTTTAAGAAAACTAAGAGAGAAAGAGCGTGGTTGTTGTGCGCCTGACTGTGGTTACAAAACGACAAAATCATGGAGCCAGTCACGTCGGGATTGGACCCCACGGTTCCTCTCGAGACGTTTGCCAACGCCAGTATCCCTACCGGCGGCGACTCACGGTTGTACAACCTCAATGTCTTCTACAATGTGAGTTTGCTTCTATTTGGAAATCCCCCCAATAAAAGAGAAACAAAAACCTCGGAAATTGGGAGGGGGAGGTGGAGGTGTTCCCGAAAGTTTGGAGTTTCTAGTTGTGGGGAGAAGAACGCGGGGCTAATTCAAAGTGTCAACTATTGTAGCCCGGCGATATCGCATGGATGATTACTTCGACCGCACTCGTGCTACTTATGATTCCGGGCG